CGGATCTCGAGAGAGTCGATTTGGACGTAACGGCCGACTAAATTCGCACGGCGGGAGAGGCAGAGAGTTGCAGGAGGGACGGGAGGAACATGAAGCAGGACAAGGGAAAAAAGAGAGGGAGGCTGGAGAGAGGAAGTCGAGGAGGAGATGAGGGACGTGGTGAGGAAGCCGTTGAGGCGCGATCGGCAATGTTCCCTTTGTGCGGTTTCGTCGCGGATCGACGCGAGCGAAGTGAAAGAAGGAGAAAGACGAGAGAACGTCTTGCTGCGAGAAAGAGCGTTCTCCATTGACGAAGCCAAAGTAACCGTGTAATCGAGACCGGCCATAGCGCAAGTTCCTGAGCCTTTTCTCTCTCGCCTTTTTACCAGTGGCTTCCTGTCGTACGCGAATTTCGCGTTCCCAGCACGGCCGATTTCGCACGATCGACCGTGACGCGCGGAAACGGGAATTTTCCGTGCGAGCGAGCGAGGAGGAAAGTGGAAATTCTCTTTTTCGAGAAAATTTTACAGATGTTCCGTTTTATGAATTGAATTGAAATTAAATTCTTGCAATTAGGAATTAATTAGAAATTCTTCAGAAAGATATTTATTTTTATAATTTGCATAAATTCAGATCTTGCTGTGATGTGCGTGAAAATAATTTCAATACTCTTTCGCGACGATTGTCGTGATTCTTGTCAATCTACAATATCGAAAATTGGACTCGTCGGGTTTCAGCTCTTACAAATCTCCCAGAAGAATTGTGCTTAATTAGTCAAGTTCTGTAGAAAAGTTGTTAAATCGTACGTAACTACGTACAAAGTCAGTTCGGGAGCTTGTAATTTAATCTCGATTAATTTAATCGGAGTCTGTAACATGCCTGTTTAATAGACACCGACTTAGAACATTCAGCGTACCGTTCGCGAGCCGGTTCTCTTTTTCCTTTCTCTTTTCTTTTTGTTTTTTTTTTTTTTTTTTTTATTGATATCGATTCAAGACGGCGTATAATTCGATATCGATACCGTAAGCCGATATCCAGCAGTCGAGTTGCTCGCCGACCATGCGCGTCGTCGGTTTCCCTGTCTAACGTTTCCATGCTCTTCTAGGTGTAACGGTGCGGACTTGTCAGAGTCGATTGCATTGAAATGAATTTGCTGATTCTAAATCCTATAGCGTGTATTCTCGCAACGTTACGCTGGTGTAGAATGTGCCAAACATCCTAATTATTATGTCGAAAGTCATATATGCGTAAGAAAATATCTCATTTATTTATTATGACAATTTTTTAATAACAATAATTAAATAAATAGGCGAGTTCTTTATTTCAATAAGTTTCGCGATTTTATCACTTAAAGAATGCCATTAAAATGGAGGAATTCTCGCATATCTTGTACAAAAATTAAGCTTAATTATCTTCAAGCTACAATTAAATTAACGGCTCATTACTCCTGATAGAGGAAGTTGTCTCTCCTCTTTTGACAGCGCTGCGTGAACTTGTCAATGTTCTGGCGAAACAGGAGTTTGACAGGAGTCGACCGACGGAGCACGTGCTCGTCGTACGCTTGCCAGCTGCAAATATCTGAAGAAGTACACGCACGAGGAGAAAGCACGCGGCCCATCTGGCGCGTGCGTGACCTCCTTGAATTATCCTGACGACTATTGCCGAGTCCAGCCTCCGCATCCTTGCAAGATCTTTGCTTCGAACGAGAGCAAAAGGCAAACGAACCGGAGCCCTCGAGCTGGAGCTGATCGATACTTGCCAGAATACGTTGGAACTCTGTGGCGCGTACTCTTCTTTCGCTAAAATTTTTTGCATCACGCAATAACTAAACACTCAATTACTTATTATTAATGAAGTTTGAAGGCGTTGTTGCGTGTGCTAAATGCAACAAATATATAAATTGTATGAATACGAAATTCTCGAAGTATTTTATTTAATTGAGATAATTTCTTTTTATTTTTAGAAAAAAATACAGCTTTTATTAAAATAGTTTGATATAATACAATTTATACTAATAATGAAAATCTTTGATCGACATAATTTAGATACTGTGCAAATCTTTAATGATATAATCAAGATGTATCAATTATCTTAAGGAAAAATATGAGCTTCTTTTAACTTTAATCTGAATAATTTTTGTTCTATTGAGGGAAACTGAATTTTATTGAAATTATCTCAAGTTACTTGATCGTGCAATTATATTGTTTAGTGAATGAAAATCTTGGGCAATGCGCAAAGCCCAAGATATTTTACATAAATTAACAAGAACTATATATATCTTACATGTCTGCTACTTTTTTCTAAAAATACAAACATTTACCGCCCGAATAAGGGTTGAATCTTCTCGCGGCGGGAATCCGCCCCACTCTTCGAAATGAGATCCTATCGATTAACCGTGCCCTAGGCGGGCAGTCCCGCCCTTCCGCTCGCGTCCCCCCCCCGAGGAACCCTTCCACCCTTCGACATCCCTTCTCGTTGTGCCCCCTTCGCGACCACCCCTCGAGAAGCGACGGAAAGAGACGGGCGACACCGGGTGTCGCAAAAATTGAGACGAGAGGGGTAGCTGCCATCCCCCGGCGATGTTAACCAATCGCGCCGCGAGCACGCCCAGTGACGTCAGCTCCGTGTCACCTTCCCCCCCTCGCCTTTTGCACCCTTGTAATTAGCCAATCCGATCGCAGGGGTGAGTCGACTCACCCCTCGGCCCGATTACGTTTACGCGCCAATGATTTTTGCAAGCGAGATCGCGAGCGTGTGCGTACGTTGCTGCCCGCGATGCATGCACGCGTGTGTCCAGATTGCAGACGAAGAGAAACAGGAAGGACATAATGGTGCCACCCTTCGAGTTCCCTCTCCCTGTCCCCTGCCTCCGCTGTCCTCTCTCGCGAAGCTCTTTGTCCCTCGCGCTCTATTTTCGCCCGTTCTTGCCTTTTTACTTTGGCGTCCTAAAACACCCCCCCCCCTCTCTCAATCCTCCCCACCTCTTCTCGTCCTTCAGCTTGGGCCCCTTTTCATTTCTGGCGCTTCTCACTGCAGATATCATTTACATGACAAACGGCCGAGCGTTGCCGTAAACGTGCATCGCGTGCATCACGCGCATCGCGTGCACGCTCGGCTTTTGGCGAAAGATGCATTCGATCGCGTTCGACAACGTCGGAATTTTGAAGGTACTGGCGATTTGTTTGGGGAAACTTTTCGGAAAGAGTTAGAATATTATATAAATTGCGAAGTTGTTCTTCCTTTTCAAAATTAGCTTCCGTAGAATATAAATACGCGGGGTAATTACGGTACATTTTGATTAAATCGAAGCCTTCACAACGAATTTCAGGGACAAACCAATTAAACAAGCTAGGAATTATAGAATTACGAGCAATTTTGAGTACATTCGCCCATAACACTAGCTTTCCTCACAAAACATCGCAACGCAATCTTTCGCACAGGCGTATAACGCATCGAGTTTCTAATTTCACTCGAACCCGAAAAAGAAACTAATAAAGCTACTTATAAACGCGAAATAAATAAGTGAAGCAATGACTTCGCATTCGACGCGGGGAAAGCTGTCGTTTTGGGAAAGTGCGATATTATATGTGTCTAAAATGAGGTATATCCACTCGCATTCCTTGCGAGGCAACAAGGAGGCAGGTTTTTTTTTTTCGGGAAGTAGAAGATCTCGACAAGATAGCCATTACGCGAGATGCATCGGGGACGCGATGAAGAATCAGGCCCGAGGAGGCTGACTGTGAGGGGAGGGCCCGCCGCGTTCTCTCATCGACATGAAAGAAATCAAAGACCAGTAGAAGGCCGCTTTCAACGAGAGCGGGCTGACAATGCTGGACGCGGAAACTACGCTATTCGTATATACGTGCGCTCGTTTTGCGCGGGTGTTTGTGTATCGGTATCGTTTTCCGTCGGCCCGGGATAATCCGCTTACGCAGGTCCGGCCCTCGCATCGGCCTCTTCTTCTCGTAACGGCGCATTGTTGCCGGCGCATTGTGAGAAAACAGCATTTTCGACGCTCGAGGTGGCGACAAGAAGAGGACTTAAACTCATCACCGTCACAACAATCGCCGCGATCGGCATTCGGTGTGGGAGGACACCGTCCGATGCACCTGACGTGGAATTGCGCGTGTACGCAAACGGAGACGTGCTCGTCAGCCCGCAATATCGCGCGCAAATGCGATTCGATGATAATAATTTCGAGAAATTGCAGGAATTGCGAGAAAGAACGAGCTCAGAGAGAAATTCGCCATTGCCTTTCTTGATGATGTGTATTTTCATCATTTCGCCCGAATATAGAAACGATACGCTGGAAATCTTAGTGATTTTTATCGCGCCACGATTATTAATAAATAAATAAATAAATTTGGGCTTAAATATTTTTTTGTATAATTAATTAAAAGATTGAGAGATACAAAAGAAAGATTGTATTAATTGTATATTCTGACTTTGCATAATATATAAGTTTATGAAAAAAGCTACATGATCTGATTTTGTAAATCGGTTCGCGCAATGAGGATCAAAGCTCGATATCGCAGAGTCAGATATCTCGATGAAGGGTTGCCGGCTCCGGCGTGAGCACCCCAGGAAGGGCTCGCGTAATCCCATGAATACATAATCCAGATGCAAACAGCCGTGCCACGCGTGCCTCGATTTAAACGGTCGCGATATTTCACGGATTAGAACGCGAATATTTGCACTATTTTTCACGGTGCCGCCCGAGATACCGAGTGCCGTTCGACTAACGGTGTCCTCGCTCTGAGGTCTCAATCCTTTCACATTATTTGTAGATGTCAAGAAAAAGATGTGCGAATATCGTCTCAGCAGTATAATTTTATTTTTTATTTTTCAAAGGTGTTTTTGCCTTTAATCATTCGTTTACACGCTTGGATTCAATATTGAGAAAATCGTGTTGCGATGTTATAAAAATGTTTTTACCTTTAATCATTCAATTCGTTATATGCTTCGATTCAATCTTCAGAAAATCGTGTTGCGATGCATATCTATATTTATGGAAACTATCAGGTAACCAAAAAAGTTCATGCGATATTAAACTTCATATAAAAAATCGCACAAACTCTTCTGGTTGTCTAATAATTCTGTTAATAGATAGCTTTTACTCGACGTAATTCCTTAATTTAATTTGTTTTTAAATGTCTTTCAATTTTACGCTAAATCTTTAAACACAGAGAGAAACTTGCGTTAAAAATAATCGTCTCTATCTTATAATTATCACTCTCGATTGTGGCGCACAAAAAAAGTTGATTGACAAGGATTAGACTTTAAGGGAAGTGCAGATCGCCGATCAAATACAGATAGTCCGAATCGGCGACCCTTTTTTTACAGGATAAGTGAGTGTGATAAAAAGCGACGTTGATGGATGAGAGACTCGATAGACCGGATTATCGACTTCTTCGATTCGTAAAAAAATCTTATTAGGAGATACCGCGAGTGTTTCATAACGGAACAATCGCAGGACAATCGCTGACAATCTGAAAAATAACATTCAGCGCGTTGCTGTTCGGAAAAGAAGTTGTCGACTTTTTCATTCGCTCAAAAATTCCAGAAGTTAATCAAGACGGGATGAAATAATTGACATAATTTTTTTGTGAAAGAGAATTATTATTTTGACCTGATCGCATACACAATTACGAACAGGACGACGGGCTTAACGAGTTATAAAGTTACGTATTACGCGCGTTCGGCGTGGAACGCGAATCGGCACAGATCAAAAGAAGATGTCTCCTCGGAATCGTTATTAAGGCAGTTGTGAGATTCGACGAGAGTCGTCGAGAGAGATATATAGTTAAATGAAATTATCCTGGACGGTCTCTCTACATATCAGTTAGAAGATAATTAATGATGAGACCGTCCGGATTAATTGGATTGTAATTGCAACGAAATTTTATGTACATCTTTAGAACAGTCGTAAATATCCAAGCAAATTTTTACCTGAATGAAATTAGGATGGCAATTGTACAGCGAAGCAGGCTCAAGTTCTTGTGAAAAATTCTTTTTCTCGTGTGATTATATTTACAGAGTATTTACAGTTGCATTGTATTTGTACCAACTCCTTCAGAGAAGAAATTTATATATATATTGGTTCTAATTGGAATATTGATACTAATTGTTGAATTAGTTTCTGTGATATGAACGAAAATCCCGTGTTGTTTACGAGATAATAGACGATAAATACGATGCGATATATATCGTAGTAATATTCGAGAATATAATAGAATAAGTATAAAATAGAATTCCCGAATGGAATGTATTTACAATGTCGATATCAAAAGTGCTCGCCGCTCGCTTAAAATGGCATCCCAAAATTAGGCTACTACTAATTAGTGCCGACTCTTGCTGCAAAGTAGACAGAGGTATATCTTTAATGACAGCAGACGCTCATACTTCGCGAATAATTCACTTTATCACGTTTTTATCGCAGCATTCGACAACATTTCAAATTATACATCCCTTACAAAATAAATTATGGTAAGTGAATAAAATTATAGGAAACATAAAACAACACAGAAGAATAAATAATGCTATTTATTATTTATTCCGTTTAGATGACATAATCGACGCATCTAAGAGTCGAAATGTTAAAATGAAACAAAAATAACGCATTAAATTAACATCTATCTAAGGAGTAAAACAACGATAAAATTTCTTATCCGATGGAAGTAGATAACATATAAAATAATTTAATAAAACATTAGAGCGCGATATACGAGTTTTTCAAGATTGTTAGCGACAAACATTGACGCCACTCGGAGTAAAGTTGCATTCCTCAAGTGATTTTTCACAACGCAGCGCGATACCGCGCGATGTATGAGTTGTATGAGCGTAAGCTTGAGTTAAAACCGGCTACGTTTTCTTCGCGTGAAACGTACCGGTCGGAGCGATAAGTACAGGATATTTTACAGGAGCATTTTAAAGGACACACACGCGCGCACTCTCGCGCTTTTCTCACTCTCGTTCTCCCTTTCTCACTTCCTTATAAAAATACGTTGGACGGAACCGACGAGTATCCTCGTAATTTTTCTTTTCCCACCCACCTTTTGAAGGCGATTAGGCTACATGAGTGGAGATTTGAGCGGACATCCTCTCTTTCTCAGCAATTCTGCGAAAACGCAACCAACTATGATCCGCGAAAATTTATCTTTGTTAAAAATATAGATGATTTTAGGCCTCTGTTAAATAGCGCAAAAATATGAGGAAGTTAAATGATAAAAATTTCCATGTATAAAAGTGGAAAACAGATTTTTTTTAGATTTTATTAACATTGCACTGAAAAATAAAAAGTAGATTTTGCGGTTTTCACTATTTTTTGTCAATTCCTATCGATTTGTTTTGAATATTTTTTGCATTGAATTGTTTCTTGTGAATTCTCTTTTCTATCATTTATAATAAAATTCAATAAATTTTATTCAATCTAGGATAGAAATTACTTATCGCCATAAAATCATGGAAATTTTTTTCAATGCAAAGGGTTGGGACAGATTATTATTTTGAAGGTATATGAAGACGTCGCACGGAGTAAAAAAAAAATAGAAGACGTGAAACGTAAAATTAACGAAATTATTGTACGCTTTATTGCATAATACTTTGAGGCAACGTGTTAAAAATCGCAATATCTTTCTAAGACACCTCTGCACCCATTTCTATGTGCAGCGCACTTGTTTCTCTCAAGAACGAGAAAATTCAGGTTTCACTCGCGGAGGACAATCGATGATCGCAACGATCAAGTATTGCACTATGTTTAGTAACTAATCCTCTCTTGGCGGAAATCAGGATCGTTGGAAGGGGAAGCGAATCGCGATTGTAGAAGACGTAACGAACTTAATTATGATTTAAATGTGATATATTCTAGATTAAAATCAATAGTAAAAACTTTCACGATGTGTGTGTGTGACAGTAACAACTGAGGAACACACGCGAGAGCCACTCCAAGTCACATTTATCTTGCATTCTAATTTACAATTTCATAATTGCGGTGTTTTACAATGTGCCCGTTTAATAAAATATTTTGAAATAGATTAAATAATAGAATCTTGAAATTTTGAATAAAAGTATCTCGGTATGACTCGGAATGTTCTTCGCTGGCGATTTTTAGAAGCTACTGAAATTGACTAAATATGACATAGTGATCACTGAGACGCAAAAAAAATAATACAGAAACAAGAATACTGCCGTGCTGAGATAAATGGCAGTGCAAGCGACTGGTGCCGATCACTATCGCAAATTTAACTCTAAATGTAGCGAATTCTCATTCTATTGTATTAGGCAATTAAAATCAAGAATGAAGAAAACTACATTCAGCGTTAAATGCGATGCAAGTTAATTCTGTGCAAACAATACTTCGGGGAATGAATACTGTTTCGGGCAATACTGATCCGATTTACGTTGCAAACCCGTATTTCGTTCTTTTGCATGACACGATCGTCCTTTTACAATGCAATGATAAGAGCAATGCTTGATTATTTAATACTATTTAGTTCGTGCCTGTCGCTGTCACTGCCTTCCAACTGATCACGTCGAAAGCACGGCAAAATCATGAATAATACAGAAAAACATGAAGGATGACAAATCTCACAAAGCAGTGAATTGTCTTCAGGGTGGATTTATTTCACCCCTTGCATTCCGACGCCGATTAAAATGTCCGTTCGATGATAATACTTCGAGTATAAAAAGCTTCTCCTTAAAAGCGTTCTCCTTTAAACACGTGCAACAGTTATACATCGTAGCGTCGACGCTTCATCGACATTCTTGCATTTATAATCTCCGTTGAATGTCATGTGATCGCGTCTGCTAAACGCCCTGATAAAATCTTCACCGACGCTTTCGTAAAAAAATAATTTAGACGCGTATATATAAAATGAATCGCTCTCCCCATCCAATTTTCGATCCTTCCCATCGTTTCAGGCGCGCGCGCGCGCGCGCATACACACACACACACACACACACACACACACACACAAATTTCGCTCTTAGGCTTTCGTTACACCTCGCGATTTATCGCTAGGAGTCAAGGTATCTACGCCTACGGTTAGAGCACCTACTTTATTAGCAAACGACGCAATACCTCTTGCAAAAATACATTTTCTCTCGTACGCTAAGGAGGATGTTACATGCTACCTACGTTACTCACTTAATCGGGTTAATCGTCGTCGCGCTCGTCGCCTCCGCGATTATAAGGCTGATGCAGCCGTGCGCACGAATCATTCGATGCGCATTCGATTCTACGATCTGGCAAGAACGGCGCAAAACAATCGACCACTCGCGGTGGCGGCTTCAACGAAGCTTTTCATTTTGTGCTGCGCGATTACCAACGCTCATTAGAGGCATTTCCCAGTCAATTTCTGTGTAAATACTCCAAAATCGACATACTGACGCATCGGGATGCGGATCCCTTTTTTTCCCACTATTACTTTATAGTGGACTTTTAGGGCCTTGTTAATTAAAACACAGAGATGAAAATGTTTTCGGCAAAAATAAATTAGACAAAATTAAATTAACAGAGATGAGTTACATTACATGTTTACGTTCAATTCGGATTATTTGAGCCAATTGTTCTTTAGAGACCACAAAACGATATGCTTTATTTATTGTTTGAAAAATACCATACTAGAGATTTGTTGAAGGCTCTTAAAGAACAATTTGTTTTAATTGAATTAGAAATAAAAGTAATTTCAAAAATGTATATAATCGAGAGAAAAATCTCAAAATATCTCAAAAAATATACGCGTTTCTAAGCATCGATAAAATCGTCGGTCCTGATGCTTCAGTACAGCATTGAATACATTAGACGACAATATCTTTTCTCGCTTTCACTCGTCTCTCGTTCAATTTCACAAACTTTTCTTCATACAAATTTCTTTCTTTCGTTCACTGGTTTTCCCTCTTTCTCTCTCTTTCTTTTTTTTCCTATCAACAATGATAGACCGCGCGACTCGTCCGACTGTTCGGCGACTGCGTAACGAACGTCTCGTAATTTTATTCGCTTTCTCCAAAGATTTGCGCGGCTGTAAGGATGACAACGACGAGGAGGGGGCGATCGACAGTCGGGTCGACCGATGGTGGCGGAAGAAGGCAGCAGCAGGAACGCAGCGGTTCGCGAACGTCCCCGATAACGAAGCGGGCCGTGATCTACATACGCTGCTTCTCGATCGGGATCGTTTCGCGTCGTCGTGGCGGCCGCGGCGCGGCTCGCCTTTCGTTCCCGACGGACATCGGGAGGGAGCCGACGATCGTCGACCGACGACGATATTGGCGGTGGAATTCACGAAGGTCTCGGACGATGTAGCTGCAGTCACTCGAGACTCCTGATGAGCACCGCCAGCTCACGGAACGTGGCGCCGAGTTTGCCGGGCGCAGATTGCTTCTTCAGCAGGATCGCCCGTATCGCGGTGAGCTTCTCGTAGCAGGAGAGGCACTTGTGGTACCTGGAATCGACAAAGTGAAGAGGTTCGTGAAATTTACAACGCTAAACACTTGAACTAATGAATTGGTTAAATAACTGATTGATTGAATATTGCAGATAGAAGGAGAAAATGTCCAGATATAAGCGTCACATCGAACAGAACTCACCGTTCCTCTCGTGACACATCGACGCCAATCGTGTGAAGGGGCGCTTCCACGTTGGACTTTATCACTGGGGCGAAGTTACGAAGAATAAGTCTCAATGCCGAACAAGCTACCGTTATATACCTGAAACAAATGCAAATTTGGCGTGGATAAGCGATAACAAATAATATCTACATCACATACGTTGTTCTAAACGATTATATGGGAAAAATCAAAGGTAACAACAATTGTTTTTACACTCGTTCAATTAATCTAATTAAATCTGATAATTTATCGCTGAAGTATATAAATCTGTGGTCATTTTACGTTTACGAGCATTTGTGTGATTTATTTATTTTACAGGACTGCTCGTTTGTCTGGAAACTCAAAGGGCAGGCTGGGAACAGAGTCGTGGAATGATAGAAGCTGCGGTAGTCTCGTAACACCCACCGGTTCGGTCACGCCTGGTCCGCTCGGTGAAACGGGCGTTATTAGGCCCACTAACGACGTCAATAAATAACGAAAGGCACGAAAGGCTTGCCTGCGCGATTCAGCACGCTCTCGCTTTCGGACGGACGGGCGATAAAGGGTTCGAGCTCCCGTTCCCGAATCGGCGAGACGAATCGCGAGCGGTCTCATGAATGCAACGTCGATCGGCACACCCTGTATAATGCACCATGCATCGTCGCGATCCGGATTTTATGCGGCTTGTGACAAAATAGGAAACCACTACGATCGAATCATATATATATATGAGATAGGAAAAATAAAAACGTCTCTCTTAAAAAGATGTCTAAATTTATTCAAGTAATTTGAAGATATTATTGAAAATATAAACTAAAAAATCAATAATTATAGAATAATTCTTTTTCTATCGTTTAAATTTTGTAAATTAGCAATATTTTGTTAAACTAACTTTCATTATAATTTATAGCTATTTTATTTATTATCTAATTTTATTAATTTTAGCAAATAATGAATATCAATATTAATACCAAGATATCAATTATCGATTATAAAATAATTTATCAATATTTTTATTCTTCTCTTTTTATCTCTGTCAGATAATTTTCAATATTCCGTAGCAAATTTTTTTTTTCCAAGACCAGCAAGATCAATAGGGATCAAGATAGAAGTAAAGGGGGAAATAGGAGGGTAGGAGAAGCGATCGCGGAATTGGAAAACGATCGGGCGGGGCGCAAACCCTCCCTCGTGACACGCGTCTGGACATTCTGGCCGACGATCTCTTTTTTTTCTCACGAGGCACCGGGTCCAGGACGAAAGAGCGTGACGAACGAGCCGTGAAAACGACGAGCGAGCTATATGCAAACTGCCACTACATAACACACCGTTCAAGATGTATATATTTGCCTGTATATATTTCGCTCCGATTGCGAAATCGGGATACAATAAGCACCACTCCTCGGAAAATGGAATACACAAACATTTATTAGAGTGTTCCTAATGGCATTGCTTTCAGCCAGAAATAATTTTAGATAGAAATGAGGATCTCTTGGAGTCAATTGTTCCAGGAAAATAATTAGATGGAAAAATAACTAATATAAGTCAATCTAACACATATAAAGGAACATTCGCCCGGCAAGCGGAAGACCCGGGTTCAATTCCCGGCTTAGCCACTCGCGCCCTGATATTTTTTTCTCTCTCTTGCTTTCTTTCCAATAATTCCTATCAGTACATACTGATTCTCCATATGTGAAAACAATGTACTAAAATTTTCGTACACTTTAAGTATCTCGAACCAGAGATCGGTGTACAAAGTTAACTGTCTCACGTAGATTAATAAATTAATTTCTTTAAGAAAAATTAAAATTTCGCACTAACATTCCGCGACGGCTCTCAATGCCTTTCTTATATTATATTATTTGATAATATAAGTCATTCTTTTAATAATTCAAAAATATATAATTAGAAAGTTAACAGACACAAAAAGAAGACTAGATAGTTATTTCCGAACGGAATGACGACAACAAATGGCTCGACTGTATCGTTTTTACGAGCGACTGCGTACGACAGCTGTCCAGCGGCGGATAATTAGTTTGAATTCACTTTTCACGTTAAGTATGGGCGCACGAAGTGCTAATAAGCGACTGCTATTAACCGGCTCACTGAAATTATTCCGGGTAATGAGCGATTAATAGCATGAGTGGTCTAATTAAGTTTTTAAATTGTATCAAAATGTTGAAAAAAAAATAGTTCTATTTCCTTAAAATTGAACAGGTTGAAAAGATATTTAATCAATCAATCTAAATTATTTAAAAATTCTTTAAATCTTAAATAAAAAATAATGTAGAAGTTATTAGAGACAAATCATCCTTGTACACAGAAAAATGGCTTTTCATGCTTCAGCTGGACCACCCTGTAGATGTATACGTGTGTTACGGACTTCTTACCACTGAACAGGATAATAAACACTCAGCACGAGAGAACAAGGGAAGAAACCCGGATGGAGAGAAAGAAAAGAAACGGGAAGTGCGTTGGGCTATTAGATGCTTGTAGTGCTCGATCGAAGCCTAATTTGAAAAAGGCAACCCTCAGGGCTGTCGGAAGTTGTACGGCAGACCTGCTATTCGATAAGACTAATTAATCGTCAAATTAATATTGAAGTGCTTTCGATCGGACAGAGATTGAAATACAGTAGTAAAACAACGATATTTACATTTGTAATATTAATATTACTGCACGTCAGTATAAAAAATAAGTAGAATATAACGAAGCAATAGAAGATTATATTTTGCAACAAATAAATAATCGTTTTAAATATAATTCCTATAGCGAATAATGAAGCTAATTGATTCTAAATAATCTCAATAACATTTGAAATAATGAAATGATAATCTAATAATTTTACAGTTACATATTTGTGAAAAATATTTTGATAGAAGGAAACAGAATTAAATTATAATCATGATTTCTAAAATTCACAGGAGTGCTCACGAAATCGTTGCCAAATTATAGTTTTATAATCAAGAAGAGTGCAATATGGCGATTTTGGCAATGCAGCGAAGAATGAAGATTGAAGACCATTTTAATAGCAGTCTATAAAACGCGGAAGGAAACAGTCGTTGCTCGTCACAACAGAACAACAGCTTGGAACTGAGGGCAGTCGGTTAATCGCCCACTTTCATACGTCAAACGGGCATAAAAGACAAGCGTTTTCCTTCTCTTTCGGATTTATAACTGAACGCCCAGGAAGTGGCGCGTCTCTGACGAGAAACCGTTTTAATTTGCTCATATAATTATAGAATAAGGATAATTCAAAATTTCAAATATGTGAAAAATATTTTCTATTGAGGTATTTATATAACAAAAATTAATAATTATCATTTCCGTGATTGCTCAATAAATACCATCGCAAAGAAAAAAATTAATTACTTGAAGTTTTCTAGTTCAAATAATTTTTTGAGTTTACAAATATCTAGATTTTTTCTGAACTCTTAGATATTTAAAACTTTAGAATTTTTCAGAAAATGTTTAAAAACTTTAGATAACAAGATCTCTTTCTATACTTTTCTCTGCTTCGCTAAATTTTTTCTACGTCATCGTCGACCAAACATACGTCCATTTTTCGACAAATTTACATTCGCGATCAACGACGACCGTTTGGCATTCAAGATGACACTTCAGGCCGCCTGTCTGTCCACTGTCATCACACTGCGTTGGCATATGCGAGCGTGCGGCACTTCAAATTTCAATTCGCCTCGCGACAACAATACAAATTCGGCGCGCGACAGGAAGGATCTGCGCACCTCGTCGCATTTGCATCTGCCGCTATCTCCTATTGTCTCGGCTAATTTCGCGAACCGCCCTAACGCTCGCCTCGGGTTTCCCCGCTCCGGCAAATTAGCCATTCCCATACTGCGACCCCGGACCTCGTAATACATCGCCCGAACGGGTGGAAACGAGAGAGCGCGGCCCCTCTCGGAAAGGGTGTCTCGATTTTCCAATACTACGCCGCGTGTGGCGTTTCACCATTGAAGGTGAAGTAATCTTAGATGATAATAGATGCAGACCGTGCGGCGTGGAATGATGAATATTCACCGTGTCATCTCTAAATATGTGCATGATGCGGCAACGAGATGCGCACGCAAATTATAATCTGACGCGGATACAAACGTGCTATTGAATAGATACAAACGTACTGAAACAGATTCAGCTCGAAACACGACAAATTTGAAAGCAATTTTTCAACAAAAAAAAACCAAGCAAACTATTTTAAAGCAACACGTTGCGTCAACTGTGGTTTAAAATGTATCATTTAGCTCCAGAAATAGAAAGAAGAAAATGTAGAGCAATATTGTAATTTTATACTCACATTTCATATTTACTTTGAAGGAGATCGCTAATAGGACCGAGCAGGGAATTACACAAATCCAAGTTCCACATCGATCTATAAACGAAAATATGCTGTTGAATATCAAAACAGATCAACACGTCTCATCGATTGGAATCGTTTCATTGAAAAAACTACGTACTGTTTTAGCGTGAGGATGCCCAGCAGATCGACGATGATCGCCAAGTCATTCATCGCGACCGCAGAGTCCACCGCTGCCTAAAACCAATAGAACTTAATATTTATCACTAATTGCACAATTTGTATTTTTCGGCAGGAGGACGGATGAATGATTACCTTGAGATCTTTGTTGTGCCAAAGGGAATATATGATTTGCAATGAGCGATGCCGACTCTTAAGTACTGCCATCATCGATTCGTGGCTCCGCATCATACTATTTAACACTTCAGCTTCCGACATTTCTGTCAGCACGCTCATCGTGGAGTAACCCAACGCCGTGGAACCCGTGTAACTGTGCTGTTAAACAGAAATAATTTCACATGAACTTTTAGGATTTGCCGAAAATAAATTACAACAGATATCGCGAGAAAAAGATCGTAGGTATAATTTTTTTCAAATATAATCAAATTTGCGAATATTCATATAGAGAATTAAATATAACAAAATTGCAATATGTATTCCAAATTTTAAAAACGATCTATTTTATGTAACAAAATTTTTGGCTTATCGTATCTTATTACTTATGAATTTTATGTATTTTCAGATGAAGGAGTTATTCACCGGTAAAAAATTTTCTACATCCAAGCCGTAAGGCTTATCGGCGCTCATCGGCACCAGTTCCTCCTTTTCCGTGTCTTCGACGTTACTTCTTATCTGCGAGACGCGTACGTCGACTTTAGGATTCGGCGGAACCTGCGCCTTGTTAAGCGACTTCCTCGTGGTCGTGGAGGCGTTACGCGCCGACAGCGCAGTCGAGGTTGAGGTAGCAAAGTTCCGGTTGAGCGACGTCGATCTCGACTGCGCGGTGTTTGGCCTGTTGAGTGCAGGATCCGAAGGACTGTGCCTTATATTATTAATTCTGCAACAAAAGCCGCGCTGAATTTAATCGTCACAGGAAATATTTTTTTCCGTTATGAATAATCAATTCTTTCATAAACATCACAGATGTATTCTGCGGAAAAAGATCTTTTTCTATCAATTTTCGTGCAAATTTATAATTATTTGACATTATTTATTTTTATTTATTTCTAGCATTTTATAAATATTCATGATATTTGTTTCCTACATTTCTATATATAAAATGATCCTTATAGCTACGTACTGTACAGGATAGTCGCTTTCGTAACCCTGCTCGCCGTCCCTGCTGCTGTGCTGCCTCCTCAAATAATGCTTCGGTGAATCCGGACTAGGCACTCTACTCTTCAGCTTACCGTCGTCCATCACGGGGATCACCGCGGCCATCGGTGCGACACGCGGCGTCAGGGTCGAGTTCGATCTTTGCGGCCCTAAGGGTTGAGACGACGTGAGCACCGCTTGATCATTGGCGCTTATTCTCTTGCCGGGCAGCGGCGTGATGCTCTGCCTTAACGGCGGTATGGACGCGAAGTTCTTGGACGCGCGTTGGTTCAAGCTGTTGTTCGCCTGCAGATTCGCTCTGATCTGGCTGGTCGACGTGATCGAGTTCCTCTGGACTGGCGGCGAGGACTTGATCGGCTGAACGCGCACTGGTACTGGCTTTGTCAAGGGCAACGTGGGCGCCGGCGGGGGCGGCGAAGAGGGCGACGGCACAGGTGGCACCTGCTCGCGCTCCATCGTGCTCAGGTTCGACATTGAGGTAGAGAGATTTTGCAGTATCTGCGGCTGCGCCGGATCTAAAATAGATTAACGATGTTGTGAACAGAATGCTTGCTCCCCTTGAATTAATAAAAACTTCAAAAGCAAAATATCAATGATTATTCAAAGTTGGAAGAAATTTATTTCTGGCTAACAAATTTAATATAATTAATTTATTTAGAAAAATACTTTTATATTATTTAACTTTTGAAGTTTTAGCATACGTCATGCTCAAATTTCATTACAGCGAATCTCTTAAATTATATTAACGATTGGCACACTCGCAAAAGATCGAAATATTATAAAACTTCGTTCAACTGGAACGTGCGTCGCAATTTAGTAAATTGCGAACTGTGCGAAGGTTATTGCACGCAACTCACCTATGTCGTGAGGCTCCTGGAAAGCCTCGAGGGATTCGGGAGGTGGTGTGCGAGACACTGAAACATATCATGCGCGGCATGCTCATTCACAAACTATATACAACACTTGCATTCGCATTTGGAAGTGTCGTGTGTGTGTGTTTGTGTATTTAATCGGTGTGTTCGTTAGTGATCGCGAAGGACTGGATTAGTTGTTAGAGCGGAAGGGGAAAAATTTTTGTTGCAGAACAATGAGACATTACAAGACGGATGTAGCGAGGCACTTACACGCCCTGCTCGGCTGAAAAATATCCCTGTAGTCCGTCACGTTCGGTATGTCCGCGAAAGTGGCCTCGTCCTCCGGATCCGTGCCGGATTTGTCCGCCTCTTCTATCGTTCGCACCTCCAATCTACAAGCGCATAAAATATTACGGCCACCGAAACACACGAATCTGGGCGTTAAACTCGAATTTCGCAAAACCCACGTGTGCTTCTTCAATCCGATCGGTCGCTCCCTCGAGAAGCTCTTCCTCAGGGAATTCCCGTGACTGAACGGCGAACTAACGGCGGATATTCCTCCCAGCGGCGCGATCTTTTTCAAGTCGCACACATACAAAACGACATTCGCAGTGTGAAAACTCGCGCCGATCTGAAACGAGTTTATGTCTCAGTAGAGGTCGTATACTGAACGTATATTGAAAATTTTATGCGTCTCCTGCTTTACCAATTGATTTTGAGCTACGGCAATGTCCTGAACTTTTCCCCAGCCGGTCGGTATCGTGTCTAGAATTCTGCCCGGCTCCCAGCCATAAACCTTTAGGACGTCGTGACTACCGGCGAACAGGCATTCCCCGCCTTGACTAAAATACAAGCATCTGAAACGATAAGAAAGTTAAGATGACAATCGAACATATATATATATTCGTAAAATTGTTGTCGTCCTGGCTTACCTAATGGCCGAAGAATTCTGCTCCGTGGAAGATACGAGCTGAAACGACTCCAAGTCCCAGAAGTGGACTGTTCTGTCGGCGCTGCCGCTAGCTAACAGAAATTCATGCGGATGGAACTCGACGGTCATGGCCGGCCCTCTGTGTTCTGAAAATTCCCTTAGTTGTCTACCGGCCTTTAGGTCCCACAGCTGATTTGAAAGTAACACAAACATCAATATTTCTCTTCTCACGCATGTAAACAATACGAAGTATTATGCGAGGTGCGATATAGATGAGAACAGAAATGTCGCAAAGTGCAAAAAGAGGATAAAAACCCATCATTAAACGCGAATGACTAAAGAAATAATAGAAAGGTAATATTTTCTTTTGCTTTAAAATAACCAAAAAAAAATCTAATTTACCTTGACCATTCCTTCCTCCCCCGCGCTGGCGATCCACTGTCCATCAGGACTGAATTTTAGACTATTCACAGTTCTATTGTGCCCCTTATAGGTAAAAATACAGCCTTTCCTCCGGATATCCCACAATTTGATTGCCGTGTCCAAGCTTCCGGATGCCAATAATTCTCCATAAGGATGAAAGTCCATGCAACGTATTCCGGATTTGTGTCCTGTCAGCGTGCGCGCCAATTTCGCATGTTCGAGGTCCCAAATCTTCAACGCACCCGTCTGTGAGCCGGCGCATACCAGATCTTCCGTTTGACCAAAGCGTACACATTCTATGGAAGTGGTGTGGCCACTCAAGCTCTACAAGGAAATGGCATATATCATTATTGTTATACAATGTTTCTTCAAATTAAGTAGCGTGTGTGTCGAGCAGTTAATTCAGTAGTGAATTATTTTAATAAATTTATCAATGATAACAAAACTATTAATGCAATACTTGCCATAATACAATTTTGCTTTCCAACGGCCCATAGGTTTACTTTTTTGTCCTCGCCACCAGTTACCAGGACACGACCGGACTTGTGGCCTAATGCCAAGCAATTGACATTTGGCGTATGGGCGACAAATTCCTCTGTGCAAAAAAAAAGAAAGATATAAATATAACATGTCACATCTATTTTATATGCAAGCATACTGATTAGTGATACGTAAAAGACAGTTTTATAGCTATAGCTGATTTTTACCAATAAATGTCAACTTATTTGTGAACAAGTTCATGTAATCTTGGACTTTTGTATTACTATCTAAAAAGATGAGAATTAAGTTGTTTGATAATGATAAATAAGAATTATCTATTGTTTATTGAAATATTATGATCACTTTTCTGTCCACAGAGAATCAGTACAATATTAACTTGCCTTCTAAGAAACGATTTCTCATTCTGATATAGAAGAAATCATTAACAAATAAGCTATAGTCATAATTGGAAAATGTCAAAATAGGACAACTTGTAAATAGTTTATTAGTTTATCAGATTCAATTCAAATATCTATTCAAATTCATAATTGAGAAATTGAAAAAAATACAATCATTTTCAACAAGTAACAATTTATATCATCTATACAAGTTCTTCCTCGCTATGATTTAAAAGGGTAAAGTTAATATATTTTGTAAAGAAACAAGAATCATCCACTATTAATAAAAACAGAGAAATTGTCCGTAGAGAATCGACACCGTTACAATTCAACGTCGATTTCTGCCTGTCTCCGTGCCGAGAAACGGCTTCACATTCTCGCCGCGGGACAAATCCTTGACAGGCCAGTTATAACCATAATTGGAAGAAACCGCGAAGGCAGCAGTTGAACGGGCTTGTAAACAGAAACTGTTCGTCCGCGGGAAGAACGAAAAGTGGAATTCTCGCGGAGGAAGCAAGGACGAGTATGCGCGCGCGCGTGTCGGGACATTCGTATCCCCGTGGACGATGATCTTACGGAGTTTCCAGGATCTTCTCGTCGACGAGGCCATGTTCGTGCTGCGCGCAGACTTATTTGGCAGCGACGAAAGTTCGGGATTTCGGTTGGCGCACGGCGTACGATCTCCTCTCGCTGCTGTCGCCGCGCGAACGTAACATGTTTACCAATAGCAACAGCAACAGCAGCAACAGCCTCCTTTTATCTTCTGCTCCGTGGTGTCCTTCTTTTCGCGACCGGGCACCGCGGCGCGTGGCGTCGCGTCACGTCGCGTCGTCCCCTCTTCGGGTGAACGTGAAAGAAAAAGGTGACGCTTTTCGCGAGCGCGGAAAACGATCGCCTCTCTCACTCAGGAAACTGCTCGTGCCACCTCCTCCTCGTTGCCGCCGTATCTCATCTCGAGAACCTCTCGCTCCGTCCTTCTCCTTCTGTCTACTCACACGCATGTGGGTAGAAAAGTGACGTTGAAAAACGATGAGATGTTTGCAAGATTTTCTCAAAAGATGGCAGCAGTTGCGTTATTGATAGCGGATAAGAATGAAATTGTTATTATAGATTGAAGGAAATAGCATGACAAGAAATTTTTAGCAATCTGGAAAAGAGATAGCTATATACTGGACGGGTACATCTGTCTCCGTCTCAAAGTTTCCGATTAACTAGCGACCTTGCTGTTTCGCAAAGGATAAAATAAAATGAAATGAAGATTATAATTTATACGATCAACAAAAACACGACGTCAACTAGTAATATTTTTAAAAAATCAACATTAAAGAAAAATGTTTGAAGGGTATATTATTATAAGTCAAAGAATATGATTGACGTGTAGTTGACAGTTACCCAATATAGCAAAATATTGAGCTGTGATATAAATTGTAAGTAATAATTTATAAGACCTGGTATAAAATAATTTGTTATAATTAATTATCTTTATATATAATTCTTTTTAGGTTATTGTTAAATTCATACTTGTTAATATGACATCAATATTTGGTATACGTTTTGGCTTTATAGCAAGCCAAAAGTGTCATTTGCACAAAACTCTCAGGAGAAACTATGTAACATATATTCAAGGCCAATCTCCTCAGCCTCGTGTGCGAGAGTACTTTTATTACATCGATCATCAAGGCATGGTATTTTTCATTTTACTGTACATTTAATGCGCCATGAAGATATTGAATTACATTTTGAATTGACTACGTACAACTGCATAAGCAGTTAATATAATTTTACTATATATTTGTATGTGATTTTTTTACAGTTGTTCCTGGATGATGTTCGCATAAGAAACTTTACTTCATGCTTTAAAGGTATAAAATAATATTTTGATTAAGAAATTAGAAAAACATTATTATTTATATTATTTGTGCTGTTTCAGATAAAAAGTTCTTGGCATTCTTCTTTAAACACTTAAAGAAAAATACCACTGGCCGTTACATGGATGATTTTCCATTCTTGTCGATTTGTGGTGTAGAGAGAAATTATATAAGATGCGACGACCTGCCGTTAGTGTTTACAAAAGTGATTCAGAGACATAATGCAGAAACTAGTACAGAGAAAGATTGGTTCAGTTATGCACATGCAGATGATTTGTTGATGGTAATTTCACAAAATTAATCACAGGATAATAAAATCAAATAATCCAGATGTTCGAAAATTTTAAATAGTATGAAATTTTTTATAGGTGCCATTTGAGCCAGAAAAATTATTTATGAATATTAACACAGGAAGAGTCTATCATCCTGCACCTGAAAAGGCAGGGGGAATCGGCTTGGTGAGATCCAATCTGGCTATAGAATTCAGCACTTTCTTCGACTTCGAAAACGGCGAGGAAAATGCACCAACGCATTTTAAGTGGAGATGCAAGCGATACAAGCTTGAAACGGATTGGTACAAAAACAAACTACCAAGAAGTTGTTACACAAAAATTTTATGATTGTGTTCATAAAGATCCCTTCATAAAGAAGCGTATTTTATATGTACATAATAAAACAATTTCCATATTGATATTTACATGTGCATTTATACACATATCTTACATCTATTATATTAATAGCATTATATTAATATAAGGACGAAATATCGAAGATTCTGGCAGTACCATCGTCAGAACTCGTCACTACTTTTTTTCCTTCGCTGGAAAATATGTATCAAACATTAGTATATTGCAAACATAAAATAATTTTTGGAATCAAACTTTTAAGGCATTTAAATAATTTTGATTGAATATGTAGCATGAGATTATTGAGAACCGTAAATTATTCTGGTCATTAATATGCTATTTATAAATGAATATCGCCAATTTAAATTATGACTCAATTATTTTTTTCAGGTCTTGATAATTTTATAACTATTCAACTTCAAGAAAAAGTATTGCTAATTTTGATTGTTTAACACAAATACAATAGAAGCTGATGCATGAATATTTACTTCAGATTTTTTGTTAAAAATGTTAAAAATGTTCTTTACAAAAGGAAGCGTTTCATAAATTGTTTTCTTCTGTAATTAATCAATACAAAATATTGATTGCTAATGACTCACCAAGAAATATGTAAATCGAGTATAGTATTCGTGTGGCCTAAAAATGATCTAAGATGGCAACCTGCTTTTGCATCAAAACATCTCAATATGCCATCTAATCCTCCAGTAAAAAATATCGATGTGTTGGTCCAAACCAATCTTGTAACACCTGCTTCTTGTTTTATTTCGTGCCTAAGAACCTACCAAAAATTTCGACTTAGAATTATTTCATAAAAAGGAAAACGTATAGAGATATAAAGAATATTACTTGTCTAGAAACATCCCATATGTAAATTCTACCCTTATCGGAATCTTCGTAATCGATTATTCCAGTTGCAGCCACAGGAAAAGTGGGATCTTTACAAAAAGCCGCGGCTTCTAGGCTAAACCTACGTTCGCTATCTGAATCACCCGCTTCACTAATCTCCGTTTTGTTAGAATTCAAATCTTGAAGTATAGAAATAATCTGAAAAGTATTTAAGTATATTAAAATTTTAGTAAATAGTATATTAGTAAATTTATTTCAATTAATAAAATCGATAAAATATTTGAAGAATAGTCTATTATTACTATTTAACTTACTATTTAAATCATTAAAGAAAAAATATGAAATGTTTATTCAATAACTTTGTTAAAAATCTATCTACACAGGCGATATACATTAGCAATATGAAACAAGTATATCATTTTTTTTTCTATATTGTATTGCCAAACAAATTTATAAAAATTTTACTTACCTTTCCATTATGCGCTGTGCTTAGCATAGTCTTGCCGCCTTGCGATATTGAAATCAACAAATTATCATCCGTGTGACAGTCAAGAGCAATGATAGTATCCGAATGCCCATGTAATCCTGTTGGATCACCAGGTGTAGTAGACAATACTTTATTCACCTTTAAATCTATTACACAAATTGTGCCATTACGATATCCTAGTGCAGCACGTTTTCCTGTAAGATTTAGTTTATATGTAATGTTTTTCTTTTAAGAGAAATTTTAAGAATAAATTTATTTCATACCATCTGCAAGAATTACACCAGCGAATGGCACATCACCATTCCCGTATCCTCGTGGGATGATTTTGTGAGCTTCAATATTACCTATTTTCAAAATGTGAATCTCTCCTGATGCTACGCTTACTAGCAAGACATTAGCAGAATGATGCCACTTAACCCACTAAAACATAAAACAAAAAATTAATTATAAACTACCCCACAGTTGGATATATGTAAAAAACATAAACTTCTTATTAAGTAAAATTGCTCACCGTGATGTCATCATATAAGTTGGTAGACCAGATACAACTTTTGTTGCTTATCTGCCACAATTGAATCACGCCACTCATGTCAGCAGTAGCAACGTACTTATCATTATAATTAAATTCAGTGAATATAACGCTATCCTTGTGATCCAAACCACAATCTATAATTATCTCACCCGTAATGATGTTAAAAACATAAGCCCTGTCATTCTCATCTCCAATTACTGCCAGTTCACCGTTCTTACTCAACGAACATGAAAATATTGAATGTTCTGAAATTAATTTATATATCATTATCACGTAAGCATTGCAAAGAGTAATATCATTTAATATGTTTTATTCAGAAGTTAAATTGATAGCAAATATATACTGATATCTTCCTCAGGTTTATAAGGACAATAAACACGCATTGCATCATCTCTTGGCAAATCATTCTCCAAAATGTCATGACCAGAAAATGTGCCACTTTCATCTTCTGATGATGAATCCACTTTCTCGATATCTCCCATATCAATAATCTCGTCTACATCTTCTTCTCCTAAGATCATTTCTTCATCCAAGATGGGATTCATCTCAGGTGGAGGTGGTGGAATCATATCTAACATATTGGAAAGTTATAATTAATCACTAGCATTAATTAATTATACTAAAATTAATATTAATCATGTTGAAACAGATAATAGTCTCTACTAATAAACAAAGTAATAACAAAAATATTACTGCGAACACGTGCTCCTCTTTTGATTGCAAACAAAGTATCAATAAGGTTAGGTTGATTAAAGCGTGGAACAATGTCGCCAACGTGAATATTCTGGGCTCCACACCATCTGGCGACATTGGCGTAAAACATACATATATTTGTGGTTTTCAAATATGTGCGCTATTTCCTCTAGAGTGACTATGGATTCCTCGAGTGCGGAATGACGAAGAGAGCATTTGGATTATTTTGTCTCTTTTCTTCGCAGGCTTGTAAAAATTGAAGAACGCGATTAGGCGTCTTCTGACCATTAAAATTTGCTAAAATTCAGCAAATAGTTGAATCAACAATAAATCTTTTTTGTACAAATCTATCAAACTTGCAACATCAGGCTTTTATTTCTAAGGTCTCTGTTATAGACTCACAACTTCAAAAGAAAACGCTATTTAATGTTGCTAATCGTAATATCAAGCTTTTTGTACATTTCGATCTTATATTATTACATATGGCACATTCATACATACTACATACGCATGCAACAATCTCTGATAATGTGTGATGCATAAATGTTTGAATAAAATAAATAAGATTTGATAATATGAGAACACTATCGCATATATATATATATATATATATGTGTATATAGAATATATTACAACACACGAACATAATATTTATAAATTCTCGCATTTTTAGTTCAGTGTTGAAACTCAATCAAGAGAACGCACTAGGTGGTAGAAGCCGTCTAAATTCGCTCTGAACTGTGAACTGCAATTTATGTTCTTTTCGTCATTAAACATCTAATTGTCACTTTATTATTCTGCCTTCAAGGACTTTTTCTCCTTCCTCTTGAGAGGATTCTTTTTGCAATCATCATAAATATTATTGAGATCAAATGCAGCCTCTACATTATCCTGAAAAATTGAGACAAGTGTAATTAATATAAAAATAAGTAGAAAAGACAGAGTTATATACATAAGAATTTCAGCGTTGAGTTTGAATAGAATACGTACTAGCGAAAAAAGAAATTTAACGAGCTTTCCTTTGTGATCCGCATACGGACGTCGCTCAACTTCTTTTCCATTTTTAAAGAGTATTAATGTTGGCAACTGCTTGCTTGTACTAGCATCACTGACATGATACTTTGCCGCTGCATCCGGATATCTTCCAACATCCACTTTACCAAATTTAAAGCTCTCTAATGCATACCTATAATAATTCTCTATGTAATAATTCATTGTATGTACTCTATGTAATAAAAGAACATATTTTTCTGTAAAAAGATAGAACAGTTGAACACTACATACTTACTTTGCAGAAAGCTCAGAGAATATCGGTGCAAAAGTTACACAGGCTGGATTCCATGCAGTATAGAATGCCACCAACCAGACTACTCTAGTGTCACGTTGTAATTCCTCTTGCAATCCATTAGCTCCACGTAAATAAATTATATTTTCAGGTCCTTGATATGTTGGTTCTGGCAATATCAATCCACATACTGCATATGCATACACAAAAACATGTTATGTTGTATATAACGCAATAAATTATAATTTACAAGATAATTTTGTGTATTCTCTTACATATAAAAATTAAGGCAAACAGAATGCCCATCCGCACATCCGCGTAAAACCACAGAATCAAGTTTGCTATTTTTGTATATACAAAACTAGAGGTCAAATAATTTATCATGGTTACACTGCCAGTCTTTCTAGTTCTTATCATGATGACAATCATGAGAAAAAACAGAATTTCTGTCTCCCTCTAAAAGATTCAAATTTTTATGATTAATTAACATTATAAAGAAGTTATACTGTCAAAAAATTATACATTTGCATTTTCAGGTATTACTTACCCCATTGAGCTCACAATCATTTTGAGCAAATATATAATTACATACGATAGGAATGCGCTTTGAAAAGATGTAAGAGATACTGAGAAGGATGTTTATCAAGTAGTAAGGCTTCACAAGTAATATCAGATCCTTTTTAAAAGACATTCTTGTACTGTCAGAACAGTTAAATTTGCAGGTTACTTTTCTGACATGTAGGTTCAATTAATGTTATGAAATATTATCCCACAATGTTAATGTGTGCTTTATCGTGGAATATTACTTAGTTCTTTTATAATTCCTGCAAATGATTACTATCTCGCATACATGAGGTGCGGCCTTGGTGCTACAAATGCTTCGCTGGTGCTTCACAGTGTTTGGATCAGTTTGGAGTAGTTTGGAACGTATTCTCAAACAGTCCACTTGGCGCTAGTGTGGCTATTTGTGACGCAAGCAGCAAGCAGCATAAATGGAGGGGGTACCGGAAATCACTTAAGATAAACAGAATAAGCATCACCCCCTACACTCTTTCTCTCTCGACATAGAAAGTTCTCTCATTTCAAATCTGGCCTCGCTAGTTCAATGTACTTGTGGAAGATTTTACAGTTTATCAACATGAGTTTGTAACTTTTAAATATCTTAGGACAATGGCAATTTTTAAGATAAACTTGAGAAATTATTTGCCATTTGATAACAGCGAGTTGTTACAGCAAGATAATTAACATTCCTATACTAAAGTAATTACATTCTAATCTTATCAGACATATTTTCTCTAAAATTTTTTTCGTACAAGGTTCATTTACCGTTTTAGATCTCAGTCCTTTAAGATCTTTGTCTTTTCAGAGGCTGCAAGCAGGATGTTCTCTCATTTTACAAGAATTGTGCTGCTTTTTGAAGCTTGTTTTTTTGTTCAATGCATTTGACAAGCAAAATTTTGATGCTTCCAACAATACCATTCCTATAATAGTGATTACGTGGAATTATGAATCTGCAACAGAGATAGGTATGTCAATTTGTCACTTAAAATATATTTAATATCTCTCAAACATTTTAGCAATTTAAAAATATTATCTATTATTATTAAAGCATGGGATGCAATATATAATAAAAAGGTGAGTGCTTTGGATGCAGTAGAAAAAGGATGTGTTGTGTGCGAAGAACAGCAATGCAGAAGGACAGTGGGATTTGGTGGCAGTCCTGATGAATCCGGAGAAACTACATTAGATGCTTTGATTATGGATGGGTAACAAACATAATGACTATTTTTTATTCTATTGAAGTATTTTAATATTGATATTTATATTCACTTATAATTAATGTAATTCTTAATAATTCAAGGAATATATTTCTTTAACAGAGTGGCAATGGACGTAGGTGGAGTAGGTGGTCTGCGAAATGTAAAAAGTGCTATTTCAGTTGCTCGCAAGGTGCTAGAGAACACAAAACATTCCTTACTGGGTGGAGATTTAGCTACAGATTTTGCTGTAAAAATGAAATTTCAGAAAGAATCTCTGCAAACGAATGAATCTAAGCAAATGTGGACTGAATGGAAGGCAAATAACTGTCAACCCAATTTTTGGAAGGTATATATGTCAAAAGTACAGTTGATCTCTTCTTACAATTATTTAATTAATATGTTATTGATACATTATGGATATTTTTAGAATGTTGTACCAGATCCAACGGCTACCTGCGGGCCATATAGCCCACAGTTAACTCAACAAACTGGTTTAAGCAATACTGAAGATATTGATAATAATTACGTGTTAAACGGAAGCGAGGAAAACCACGATACGATCGGTGTACTGGCGATAGACTCGCAAGGGCGTACTGCGGCCGGTGCTTCAACGAACGGCGCCAAACACAAGATACCTGGTCGCATCGGGGATTCTCCTATTGCGGGAGCCGGCGCATATGCCGATCAAGACGTTGGTGCGGCAGCCGGTACCGGTGACGGAGATATTATGATGCGATTTCTGCCGAGGTACTCAAGGCATAATGTATAATTAGCAGTTTATATACATTTAGCAGTTTTTGGCTATACCAAAATTTAAATTTATATAAATTCTATTTTAATTTAAAACTTTTTTGTTTGTTCTCCTACGATTTTATATATTTTTTATACACTAAAAAACGGTTTTAATTGCCCGTTAAAATTAATTTATGTACTTTTGCAGCTTCTTAGCAGTGGAAGAAATGCGCAACGGGGCAACACCGAGTGCAGCTGCTAAAAAAGCGATTGGCAGGATTGCCCAGCATTATCCTCATTTCTTCGGCGCAGTAATCGCATTGAACAAAAAAGGAGAATATGGAGCAGCGTGTAATGGATTGGCAAAGTTTCCATATTATGTTGCGAATCCTGTCTTGGGACCTAAGTTACTTTCAGTTGAATGTAGCAATTACAATAAGCTGTGCAACAAGAGTGATGATTCTTGCTAATATGCATTTGTTTGATCAAATTTTAAGAAAATAATATAATATATATATTTTTCCAATAAGGTAAATTTATATATAAATAGTATACTAAAATTTGTGCAAATCCCTGACTTATATAGAACAAAACTATATAAGTTCAGTGCACGTTTTTGAAATATTACGAGTTTTATGTAATGTGTATAAAACAGAATCTAATTTGTTTTATGATACTTTAAACATTTTATGGAAATAAAAATAAAACAAAAATATCTAATTTTTTCAAATTACATTCTAAACATAATTTTTTATTTTCTATAAAATTAAATATAATTTATCATTTTTCAAATTGTAAAATAGTAGAGATCTAGGTTTATCAATTGAGATGTACCTATTTTATCATATGCTAGTAACATGAGTTAATATGGCGTTTAGATCAGCTGTTGTTGATTATACTTTACACTCGTAGTCTCGTTGAGTGATGTGATTTTACAAATAAATACACTTTTGATCGACATTTTTAATACATAACTGAGATTTCTACTTTATATCTCGCAGTTTTTTTTACTACTAGAAAGGTAAGTATTTCGTAAAAAGCTTAATATTTCTATCGTTGTACATTTCTCCAAGATAGTGTTGATTATAACCTAACCTAACTTAATTGTTTGATTAGGAAAGACAGTTGATCAAAATGCCAGAAACGGAGGAAGAAGTAGGTATGTCAGTTCGTCTGACGAACGATGACTTCCGAAAACTCCTGATGACTCCGAGAGCGTCAGTGCCCTCAGCCACCCCAGCATCTGTACCAGGTACAGCGAGAGATGCCAGTGCAAAGACCGCCCAGACTCCTCAGGTTAGCGGGGGTAGTCGGGCGGAGTTGCGAAGAAAGAAGAAGAGCTTCTACGCAAAGCTGAAAAAGCAGGAGGAGGATAAGATGGCAGAGCTTGCTGAAAAATACAGAGACCGTGCAAGGGAGCGTAGGGATGGCACCAATCAGGATTATCAGGCAGAAGATCCCATGAACAGTGCCAGTGCTTACAGAGCTGTTGCGCCGGATCTAAAGTCTGGTATGGATGCTGCTGAGCGTAGGAGGCAGATGATCCAGCAGTCGAAATTCTTGGGTGGTGACATGGAGCATACTCACTTGGTCAAAGGCTTGGACTATGCTTTGCTACAAAAGGTGCAATATCTTCTATTTATTAAGACTCTTCACAAGTTTAAGAAAAACAGAGCTTTTTGTCACAGTAGATATTTTGAAATAATGTATATCACTTTTCTCAAATAAAATAATTTATAATTTAGATACAAACTATGGATATTTTTCTGTATTTTAATGAATTATTTTATTTAACTATTATATTATATTTATATAAATGCATTGCTATAGGTACGCAGCGAGATTGAGGCGAAAGAACACGAGCAAGAGCAGGAAATGGAGAAGTTGGTAAAACCGAAGGAGAAGATAAAGAAGCCGGAACCAGAGAAGAAAGACGACGAGATGCAGTTCAAGACGAAAATGGGCCGGAGCTTATACAAAACTGTCATGATCATGAAGTCGAAGCAGATCGAGAGGAACGAGCTGTTCACACCGGGTCGCATGGCGTACGTAATCGAGCTGGACGACGAGAACGCCGACGTGGATATACCGACGACGTTGATTAGGAGCAAGGCGGATGTGCCGACGATTGATAACACGCCGACTCTCACGACCAACGATATAGTGATCAACAAGCTAGCGCAAATTCTGTCATATCTGCGCCAAGGTACGCCGACACAGTAAGAAGGCAAGAAGCTGAAAGACGGGCGCGCGCGCGGCGACGAGGGGAACGATATAGACATACAGCCGCGGCCGCCGGTCGCCGATGACAGTATCTACGGCGACATCGGCGATTACATGCCGGCGGTGGCGAGCAAGAAGGACGGGCATTCGCGCGAGAAGAAGAAGGGCTCGTACTTTGACAAGCCCGAGACGAATTTGGATACCGACGACAAGGCGAACGCGCCACAATTGCCGAACGTGCTGCAACCGAGCGCGACCGTCGTAGCGGATAGCAGCGTGCCGAAGAAGGGTGCCCTGCTGAACAAACTGGCGGCCGAGCCGGAAGGCTACGCCGAGTGTTATCCGGGCCTGGACGAGATGCAGGACGCTATCGACGACTCGGACGACGAAGTGGATTACACGAAGATGGATCTGGGCAACAAGAAGGGTCCGATTGGCCGCTGGGACTTCGACACGCCCGAGGAGTACAGCGAGTACATGAACAACAAGGAGGCGCTGCCGAAGGCGGCATTCCAGTACGGCGTGAAAATGGCCGACGGCAGGCGCACCAGGAAGTACAACAAAGAGAAGAATGAGAAGGCGGAGCTCGACCGCGAGTGGCAGAAGATCCAGAACATCATGAATAAGAGGAAACCGACGACGGCGATCGACGGCGCGTCCGAATTTAAAGTGCCGCGATATTGAACTGCCGACTTGCTACTGTCGATTCACGTGCCGATCTTTTCGACTGTACTTTGCGGATGAAAGAACTTGAAGGATGTGCGATAAGTATACTTTTAACTATCTTCTATAACGTTCAAGGGAAAATCGCTCCTCGTCAGAAGCGACAAACTGATACATTTTTTCCTATGATAGATAAACTTTTATCACATTAAATCTTTCAGTAAATTCTTAGAGCAAACAAAGCAAATTAGCTGAAGTTATATCGAATAAGTTGTACATGTTGTATTATAGACGTAAAAAGATAATATTAATCTAATACAATTAGTTTTTTGAAATATTTTTTCTTAAAAAAACATAACCGATATCACAAATACAATATATTCAATATATATTGCTTGTATAATAATTCGCGTGCATTATTTTATTTTGATTCTAGAAATTTACCTTTCATGTTGCACCTTAATTAAGAAACCGGCAAAGAAAAAATTCATTCAAAAAGAGATGCTTTTGTCTAAAGCGTGATGTCAAGGAGCATTTCTTCGTGAAACTTTATTCCGCTCTTCCGAGTTGGAAGATTTCGTTAGACGAATGATGTAACAAGATTACAGCGCAATAATCGATGGTTTGTGCAGCATCACAAATGCGTAAATCTGACAATGCTGAGTTTGCATTTTATGCCCGCGTGATCCTGCGATAAGAATCGTCACCTCTCCAGCGCGAGGAGTGACCCGAAACCGATTCGAGGCGGTTCGGAACTGTTAATATAAATAGCAGGTTTTATCAGTGAGACCTTTTACCTATTTACGACCGGGGGATCTTTTCTCCGAACTGGATCGAGTCGGTTGGAATCCGCAATTTGTGGATTAACAAGTCATCGGCGTCACGAAAAGTAAATTTTCCGCGAAAGATATCCCGATATTACATAAAACGTAAATATTTTAAGACATAATGATCTTAGTGTTTAGCAGAGAAAGTTTATTAATAAAATTGAAATGAAGAAAAGAAATTATAAATATGTTTCATTAATCAAATATTTATTAAGATCACATTATTGCTCATTAAGTCAAGTCACGTTGTTGATTAATTTTATTAACTAACATTATAATTGATTACTATTGATTTTGATTTGCACGTTCAGCTACTTTCCTTGGTCTTTTGCTTTTTATTTCGAAATTCGCATTAAATACATATTAAATACGTATTAAATTCTATCATTTAATGACAGATTATTTTAAACACTATCATATCTCTGTTATTGTATCATTATCTCTGTTATTTGTAACAATGACATGTATTATAAACACTATATTCACGATACTTTCATCTTATTATTATTTAACATCGCAGGCATTTTTATAAATTTACGTTTACATTTTGACAAATCATGCAAATATAAATCACAGAGTCATTATTCATTATCAGAAGAGTACTCGCTCGTGATATGTCCGGAGATAAACGAGGATAGCGAAAGGTCCCTGATGGAGTTCGGTTTAGAACTTGACCCTCTCGCGCGCGAGATATCGTCGACGTTATATAAACGTGAACACTTTTACCCGGCTTCGTAAAGGAAGCCGATCGTCGGCACGCACGCGTTTCACCACGAGTACGCTCAGTGAGAGAAGTGAAGGCGCGACGTGAACATTCTCCGATCGCACTGCGGAACTGATGCTGGGACTCAGGAATCTCATTTTACGACGCAGCCTCGTCTTGGATACCGTAAGTCGCACAACAGAGTACAATCCAATTAAAAAAAAAAAAAAAACATTAATATAATTAAGAACGTCAGGAAGAAGTCTGAGAGATAAGATTTTACATAAATTAATTGCTAATGAGTAGCTACTAAAAATTTCTTTAACACATCGAATACCGCGGAGATTGTATCGATCCCCGCGTGGCATTCCACGTGTAATATATATATTATAATTAACGATGTGACATAAATAATTATGTATTTTAACTAATTAATATATTTCAGGCCTTCTCTTTTATGCGCGTGTGGTGACGGTGGTAGTGTATGCGTATGTGTAATGGTGATTGGAGTTTTTGCTTCAGGAATCTCTATTTTTTTTGCAAATAAGCTTCGCAACTTATTTAAAACTGCTACTAGTAATACGCACACGGCAAACTACAGATAGGTATGTAGATGAGTCAACATTATTTTATTTTTTCATTCATAAACTGAACGAAACGTTCGATCTCAAAAGTGCCTATTGAAAATTTGTCATTTCTTTCCTTTGCTGCAATGTTTTAGTTCTAATTAATTCAAGAATACGCCCTAAAAAATCGTTATCAGCATCCTATCTGCATATTAGCTTTATATTTTTCATTACACGAAAGTAGAAAGAAATTAAAAATAAAGTATAGAGATGATATGTAAATTTGAAGAGAGTTCTAGAACAATTCTTATCTATTTGGGAAAATACATTTATATACAGGGTGTCCCGGATTAAGCGCACCGCACGGTAATGGCACATTGATAACACAGGAGCTGTTCTTTTTTTTTTTTACAACCGTGCCTCGGAGACTTGATTGATTAACTTTAAATGCTTCTCATTTAAGAACTATTGTAGCTTTGATATTAAAATTTTTATCTCAAAATGATCTCAGGAATGCATCATTACCACGTGGTGCGGTTGATCCTGTATATTATATGTATTGGGATATGCGCACGAGTTACACAGCTTCGGAACACTTTATTATTGTTGTGAACAAATCAGTCACGATCGAGACTGACTCTCGAGCAAACTATTATTATTTTTTATTTGAATAGTCAACCTTCTATTCGAACTTTTAGTTTGTTCCTTTTTATATACCGGAAATTACACTAGAAGTACACGGTTCTGACATTAAACGGTTCAGGTATTATCAATATTTCAAAAATAATTGGCAGTGTACTTTAGCTGATATTTTCTACATTTCTTTTAATTAAAATCTCAATGTAATAATACACAATAAGTTATACATAAATTAATAAAGACCTTTTTTTTCGCAATCTACAGTCGACGATGGCGCAGCTTAAAGTGGCTATCATTGGACAAAGTCCTTTTGCAGCGGAAGTTTACAAACTTTTGCGACAGAAGGGACATCAGATCACTGGAGTTTTTACGATTCCGGATAAAGGAAATCGCGAGGATGCTCTAGGTATGAAATTGCATACTAAAATTAATTCTACTGTAAATTTTTGCAGTTCTTAGTTGAGAAACTTTAATATTATCTACAAAAAATATTATTAATAATAATAAATCTAATATATAAAATGCATACGAGAAACTTATCATCTTGTGGTTTGTTGATTTTGAAATAGCGTTGATTAAATATTATTCGTGATATTATCATGTGTCCTGTGATAGTGAAATAGTTTGTGCGATAGCTTATATTTAGCCAGAGCTACCTCAAAAGTCAAGAAATAATTTAAAAAAAGTATAGTTGTAAGTTTGATTTTTATCTACAATTTTCACTTCTGAAAAAGCTTTTGAAAATAAAAGAAAGTACAAAATTTTTGAATAATGACTCTTCAGCGAACAAACATCTTTTTCGTTTTTCAAACATTTCCCAATTTATGTCTAAATTCGTCATCATTTCTCTTGAATTGCAGCAACTACCGCTAAGGCCGATGACACACCGGTGTTCAAAATCAAGGCTTGGAGAAGCAAAGGAGTGGCTTTGCCCGAAATTTTGACGCTGTACAAAGGCATCGAAGTAGATATCAATGTTTTGCCATTCTGCAGCCAATACATCCCTATGGAAGTCATTAATCATCCGCGTTATCGTACCATATGCTATCATCCGTCTTTGCTGCCCAGACACAGAGGAGCGAGTGCTATAAGCTGGTTAGTTCTTATCAACGCACGTTAACGCGATTTCCAATAACTTTTTTTTCTCGATAATTTTTCTTTTATCGAAAATTTTCTCCAATATTCTTCGGAAAAAATTTTTTGCTTGGAAAAACAATTTGTTTATTATCTTTTTTACTTTAATATGTTTGTCGAGTTAAAGATAAATTTATTTAATCTCTGAAAATTAGGGCTCTGTAAGTTTTCTCCAATTAATTAATTTATTAATTGAAAAACTTGCAAGGTTTTTTACAAGAATAGATGAGACTTACTTTCATTCTTATCGTAATTCACTTCGTATCTATTAGCTTAAGTTTGTTTTAATATTTTAATTAAAAGAATTTACTTTATCTTTCCATAATCGTAAGACTGTTGCTATTTCTGAATTAATCCATAATTTAATAAATAACTCTATCGTAGTAGTTATTGCATAATTGGAGCTTGCCGTATCAGCTAATGCTAATCGCCACACGGGTCAGTCAGCTACGATACAACGTTTCTCGATATCGACTAGGCATCTTTACGCACGTTACAACCGGTTTGCCGCGGTTTTCGCGCTCGCGATTGCAAAGTAAAACTACTTTCTCGCTAAAAATAAAACGATAATAACAACGATAAAATATGCAGCCAATGAGCTCACTATGATACCCTTCCATGACCCGCGTATTCGCGTATTGTATCGCCTTTATATATAACTTTGAACTATCAAACGATATCATTGTATCGCATATTTTCGATATATTTTGTTGTCCCGCATAATCATTTTGCATTTTTTTCTTATCAGCAAAAATTGCAAATTTTTGATAAAATTAACGATAATCGCATCTGTCAGGTTCTTATTAAAATATTATAGAAATTATATATTATTATGTGAATCAGTTTATATTAAAAAATAACAAATTTTATCATTTTTTAATTCTAGCAATAATCCAATAATTCAATAGCATAATTTTTCCAAAATAATTCTTTTCGTCTGTGTTGCACGAATATAAACGATACTACAATTCGAACACTGACTTTAATATTGGCAAAATTCGATTACCGAATAAAGTTTATTTGTCTCCTTTCAGGACCCTGATTCAAGGGGATGACACCGCGGGATTCTCGATCTTCTGGGCGGATGACGGCCTGGACACCGGGCCGGTCCTTCTTCAGAGGTCCTGCAAGGTGGAGCCGAACGACACAGTGGACAGTTTGTACAACAACTTCCTCTATCCGGAGGGTATCAAGGCCATGGGCGAGGCGGTGGACCTCGTGGCGAAAGGGATTGCACCCATGGAGCCGCAACCCGCGCAGGGCGCGACTTATGATGCCATGCTGAACAAGAAGGAGCTACAAAAGATCGACTGGGATAAGCCGGCGAAGGAGATTCACAATTTCATCCGCGGTCTGGACAGCACACCGGGCGCCTGGACGACGTTGGACGGCGAGGAGGTGAGCCTTTTCGGATCGTCCCTGTGGAACGGCGACAAACTGCCGGAAGGGGAGAGGGAGGTCGATGTCGAAAAAAGAACGGGGATCGTTCATCAGGGTGGTCTGCTGATCGAGGCTGCGGATGGACGTTTCGTTAACGTCGAGAGGATCAAGATCGGCACCAAGACCATTCATGCCGGTAAATACGGGCAGACGAATGATCGCCAAGTCGTGGAGTTCACGGAAGAGGAGCTGAGTATTGCTGATGGGCTGCGTCGAATCTGGACGGATATACTTAAAATTGACATCGACGACGACACGGATTTCTTCGCTTCCGGTAAATGGGTTTTTCAAAAGCTCACGCGGAATTTATATATGAAAACTAGGATATAGAGATTTCTAATCGTTAAGTTTTACTTCATATAAAAAAATATATTTTACGTATTTCTATAATTTCTTACATTAAAGTAAAAATAATTAAGCATTCGCGAATATGGCAATATATTATGCAAAATGCTTGCTACTCATATTTTTTATTTCACTATTTTTACGTTTAGATATAAGTTGAATTAATATGTATTTAATTTATGATGTTATGATTTAATTAATAGTTTATTATTTTTTCTTTTTCTTAATATTTTTAATGTTTGAAACTTTATATTTTTTATCTGACTTCTTCTATACTTTACGTATAATTGAATTTATTTTTCATTTCAAAGTGTGTGTTCAGTATACAAGTATCAAAAAATGTATAAAATATTATAAAAATATATTTACTTTTCTCTTTCAGGCGCAAGCAGCATGGACGTGGTACGCATGGTTGAGGAAGTCAAGGACAACTTTGGCGTCAGCTTACAGAACATCGATGTTTTCATGGCGCCGGTTTTTAGAGAATTCGTCACGACGGTCGTCCTTACAGCTCGAGGAAATACAGCCGCGAAAGAGATCAAGTACGACGTAGTGGAAGTGCAGGCGAACAACTTGACCCTAAGATTCCCCAAGCAGCTTTTCATCAACGGCGAGTTCGTCAACGGCCACGGTAGGGCCATCAACACGATAAATCCCCACGATGAGAGCGTTATCTGCTCGGTGGAGAGCGCGAACGCCGAAGACGTTAATCGCGCTGTCAAGGCCGCCAAGAAGGCCTTTGAGGAGGGCGAATGGGGCAAAATTAGCGCCAGGGAGCGTGGCGCGCTGTTATTCAAGTAAAGCAATAATCTATTTCTCACATTTGATTTTACTGAAACATTTTTTTTTTTACAAACATGAGATCTATTTTTTTCTAAATGCGAGAAAAATAATTGATGAAATTTCAGTGTATAATTTTTATATCTTTTAATCCTCGACAAGATTATTAAAGACTTCATTTCTTTGTGTTTTTTTTTCGTTCTTTATTAACGTTTCTCTTCGTTCCAGATTAGCGGACTTGATGGAGCAGCACAAAGAGGAGCTGGCCACTCTCGAGAGCCTCGATTCCGGGGCGGTATACACGCTCGCCCTGAAGACGCACGTAGGTATGTCCATCGAGACCTGGCGTTACTTCGCCGGATGGTGCGACAAGATCCAGGGCTCGACCATACCGATTTCGCACGCGCGTCCAAACCGGAATCTCACGTTCACGCGGCGCGAACCGATCGGCGTCTGCGGCCTGGTCACTCCCTGGAATTATCCTCTGATGATGCTGTCGTGGAAGATGGCGGCCTGCTTGGCGGCCGGAAACACCGTGGTGATGAAACCCGCTCAGGCCTCGCCGCTGACGGCCCTCAAGTTCGCCGAGCTGTCCGCGCGCGCCGGAATCCCGCCGGGTGTCATCAACATCCTCTGCGGATTCGGCAGCGAAGTCGGCAACGCTATTGTGGGGCATCCGCTGATCAGGAAGCTGGGCTTCACTGGCTCCACGCAGATCGGCCAGACCATCATGAGGTGCTGCGCCGAAAGTAATCTGAAGAAGGTGTCGCTGGAGCTTGGCGGCAAGAGCCCTCTCGTCATCTTCGAGGACGCCGATCTGCAGCAGGCCGTCAGAATCGGCATGGGCGGTGTATTCTTCAACAAGGGCGAGAACTGCATCGCTGCCGGTATGCGCGCCTCTTCGTCTTTTTATGTATTATTTAGAATTAGAATTGGAATTTTGTTTATTGCTCGTTGATGGATCCTTGATTACCTCAACGTTTATTCATCATTAGGACGACTCTTCGTCGAGGAGACCGTTCACGACGAGTTCGTGAGACGCGTGGTCGACGAGGTGAAGAAGATCTCCATCGGCGATCCGCTGAACAGAAGTACAGCCCACGGTCCGCAGAATCACAAGGCCCATCTGGACAAGCTTCTGGAATTCGTGGAGGCGGGAGTGAAGGAAGGCGCCACGCTGGTTCACGGCGGCAAAAGACTGGATCGCCGCGGCTGGTACTTCGAGCCGACCGTCTTCACGAACGTCACGGACGACATGTACATCGCCAGGGAGGAATCCTTCGGCCCGATCATGGTGATCTCCAAGTTCAGCTCGACGAACGTCGACGAGATGATCAGCCGCGCGAACAACACGGAGTTCGGTCTGGCCTCGGGAGTCCTCACCAAAGACATCGGCAGGGCGCTCAGGTTCGCGGAGAAAATCGAGGCGGGCACCGTGTTCGTCAATACGTACAACAAGACGGACGTGGCGGCCCCCTTCGGCGGCTTCAAGATGTCCGGATTCGGGAAGGACTTGGGACAAGAGGCGCTCAATGAATACCTCAAGACAAAGACGGTAACCATCGAGTACTGATGGATTACAAGTAATTATCTTCCGAGTCGGTGCGCAATACTGCGAAGTGTGTTTAAGTGCAATGACGTGTCGTTGCGTTTTATGGTATTATAAAAAGAAAATCGCTCTCTTCGACAGTTTTTAACGAACACTTTTAAGAATTTTATTGAATATTCCGGAATAATACAGGGTTCCGTTCTCGGTATTTCTATTTGTATATACTGTTGGTATTATTTGAAAGAAAATCGTTCGTGGGAAAGTAAATCGAGACGGCGTGACGAAGAGTTAAATAGAGAGGAACCAGTGGATCTCGCTCCCACACGTGCAGGGCATACGAAAGGGGGTTAGTTTTTTTTTTCTTTTTTTTCGAAGAGTCTTCTCTGTCGAAGCTCCAGATGCTGCATGCTTTTTTATCACGAGGCATACAAGTGTGCCCCATCTCTCGCGCGTTGTACCATGGCCCTGCGCGTTTCTCGTTTGCTTTTTTTTGTCTGACTGGCCGATTGCAAACGATGACATTTTGAAGATAAAATCGGATACAGCAGGAAAAAATCTAAGATATTTAGTTAAGATGTTTAGTTAAGATAAATTTTAGGAATGTAAGAAAGATGATAAGCTGAATTTTGTTAAAAATTCCAATAAATAACAGATTGATAGACTTGCTCCTTTTTTTACTAATTAGTTACTTTATAATATAAGATAAACTTTTTTTTTTTAACTAATAAATGCGAACGGAAAGAAAATGAATGAACAACAGAAGATAATTAAATTAAAACAGAATAGATTTCAATTTTTTAAATCTATACGAATTTAATAATAAAAGATAAACAGTATGAGCTACTGATTTTAGAAAACTGTTCAAAGGAATATAAATGATGTATAATCCCAATAGTCCAAAGATCGTAAAGGTGTGGGGTCCGTTTTAGTGAGCGGCAAGGTCAGCGCACAAATTGTGGGTCTCCCTGATGGAAATATTTTTCTGAAAATATAACAAAATTTTGCTGAAATGTATTTGGAAATTTCTCTCAATTGACCCCATTAATTAATTTCATAAATATTTTAGCAATTTTTTATTAAAAAGTAACAGTTTTCAGTTTAATTCAATAAATTTCATAATGTCTAATATTTTAAAACTCTTTTATTACTTTTCAGCAGTATATTTTAAACTTTCCTTATATTTCATAGTATTACATTAAATTTTCATATGAAAAATTATGATATATTTTGAAATATATTCAGTAATTTTTCAAAAACTTTTATTTTATTTTTCATTGATTTCATAGTACTTTCAGCAAAATATTTCCATCAGGGCTTCACAGACAAAACTTGATTAAAAAGAAAATTTTGTTAAAAAATCTATATATGTATATTTGATACATGTTTTGGAAATGTATAAAATATTTCTTAAATATATGCCATTGGTTTCCGGGTGATGATCGCGATGTGCATTTTGGATGCCAGAGTTTCGCAAACATTGTAGTTTGCATCATTAAATATATCTTAAATATTTGTTGTAATAATATTAAAATATGTATTTTCAACTTTTTTAAATTTACGAATTTTTAAATGAGATTTCAATGATTTTGATCTCTTACGAATTAACGGTCCCCAACTAATTCAGCCGCCCCGGGGCCTCCGGGGCCCTTCTTCGGCTCTGGTCTTTGCTTTGCCATGTGTGAAGCATTTGGTACATTTCGATAAAGGTTGGATTAGGTATGGGATCCCCTATACCTGGGAAAAATTAAAGAAAGACCGCCTCCTGCTGTAAGAGGTGAACAACCCGTCGACGAACAACTGTTCCTATAAACTACTCTTTCCCTATTGTTTGTCGTTTTTCTTCTCTTTCGGTTCGTGAGGTGCCTGTCTGCGCTTTTGTCCTGAAAGTTTACTCTACGAAAAATTTATCAATTCCTTTCAGCACATTTCCTTAAGAACATTTAATAGAGAACGCTGGAATTTTTCGCAAATTTTTGAAAACTCCTAATAGAAGCGTGAATTTTGTAAAACGCGAAAAAGTGCTTGGCCAGCATCGCGCTCGCAAATAAAAGTAGAAATTATTCTCGCATTGAAATATAAATTCAGCTAGAAAAATGTGTTACTAATTTATTTGTATGAGATAGAAATAAAATTTTCGAAGAGATAAAATTTGCATAAAGGCAAGAATTTTTGTAAGATCGATCGATTTCAACTTCTTTTTTATGACATTAAAAATCAACACATATAATGTAAATGCCCTATAAATTCAAGAAATATAATAGAATGGCATCGAGAGCCGTCGCAGGATGTTAGTGTGCTAAATTTTTAATTTATTTTCATAAAGAATTTTTTAATAAATTAGTCTACAAGAGACAGTTAGATTGTACACCGATCTCAGATCGAGATACCTTAAGTTAATGTTAACTTACATAATGTTTCTCGATATATGAGAACAATATATTTATAATTTCGTACACATTAGGTATCTCGATCTGAGATCGGTGTACAATCTAACTGTCTCTTGTAAACTAATTTATTAAAAAATTCTTTATGAAAATAAATTAAAAATTTAGCACTAACATCCTGCGACGGCTCTCGATGCTGTTCTATTATATTTATTAAAAATCAAGTTTGAAATTGTGTATGTTTTAATTTATATCGTACGTAAGATCTCTGTTTTGTAATCGAGTCGAAGTTACATTTGAGAACTATAGGACTATGTTGACGACGAGATGGGACCCGCGAGCTGATACTTCGGGCCCCGATTTCAAGTACGTGCAGGGACTTAATTCGAAAACGTGCGCGACCGGCACGACCCGGTCTCGTCTGGAATTATTCATCGTGGACAGGAAATGCAAATTCCATCGTGTCCCCTCGTGTCGCAGGACAGTGCCCTTTGACCCAATCCCAATCCCCGATCGATCTACCAGCGATAGTCCTCGCCTTTGTCAAAACCTTATCTCTTCGAGAATTTCGTTCTTACACTTAAAAAAATGATCTTGTAATAATAGCTAAAATTTTCTAGGTGTAAAAAATTAACTAAAACAGATAAATGATTAGCAACTGTTGTGATATTGCATATGTAATTACTTAATCAGTTTAGATGACAGAAACAGAATATATATCTGTATTGTTTGTGAACTTTAAAAAGAAAGCTAAAGCGCCTATCCATATAAGATTAATCACGTATTAGATCATGCAATGAATAACATTTAGCAATGGTACCTAAATTTTTCAGAAGCTATTGCTAGAACATTACTGTTATAAATTCTATATGTGACAAACAATGTTTTCACAGATACGAAAAATAGCGATACATTCTTGTTGCGATATCTAGAAATCTAACTACATCAGCGAAATATTTTTTTGAGTGTATGACAAATCTATCACTGATATATTTCTAATTCTATATATAACGCGATAAACATAATAAATGTAACACGCGGTGCAAGTAAAAGGCATTAGCTTCGTTCTCTCGCAATTCCAACATTGTATCTCTCGAAATCACTGTAAAAAATTGCCTAAAAATTTCAGACACATTTTTGTCTGAATTTTCAGATCTGGGTGCCTGAAAGTAATTTCAGACAATCTGTCTTAATTATCAGAGTAGTTTCTCTGCAAGTTCAGAATAGTGGCGCGTCTGTCCGAAATATTTAGAATTGGTGTCCAAAAATTTGGCTGTGTTCGGGGAGCGCGCTATCAGCGCTATCGCATCATTCTATCCTTATCGTTCATTGGATATAAAACAAGGATAGAATGACACAATAGCGCTGATAGCGCGCTCCCCGAACGCAGCCATTGTGTGGATATGTTTCACGACTTACGTTTTTCTCTGCCTTACCATACGTCCACGACTACGACTTACATCTCGTTCTCTGTCATCAGTCTTACATCCGAAAAGTTTTATGATCATGTGGTGTTTGTGTTTTTTAATGAAATATATGTATACCAGTGAAAAACAAGTTCGGATAAGTGTGGTTTTTTTAAAATACTAACAATATATTTTGATTTAAAGTATACTCAGTGATGCGATGTTTCCTACCGGGTTCCCGACTCCCGAGCCCCACGCAAGCGAGAAGCGCGTACATGTTCTCGCTTGCATAAACCAAAATATATTGTTAGTATTTTAAAACCACATCTAAATTCTGACAAAAGTGTCTGAATATTCAGGCATTGAGATCAGAAATATTCAGACAACTGTAGCTAGAAGTTCAGACAACTGTAGCTAGAAATTCAGACAACTGTGACCAGAAATTCAGACAACTATGATCAGAAATTCAGAGAACTGTGGCTAGAAATTCAGACAATATTCTGTCCGAAAATTCAGACAATGTGACTGTAAGAAAACTTCAAACACTTTTGTCTGAATTGTCAGTCAGTAATTTTTTACAGTGATCTTATTGCTATCATAAATCTATGATCTCGCATGTTTGTGATTCTACTTTGTAATTTATACAAATGAGAAGAAATTCTCTGGAGACCTTACGAAACTTTGCAGCTGCAGCTATGGGCACCACGTGTGTCTACTGTTTCTCCCCTCATGCCGTCACGGCGACGGTTACCTCCCCGCTTGCTCCCGCAGTTCCGTTTCTCCAGTCGTCTTCGGGATGCCGCGTGCGGCGGTCGGCGTCATTGGTTTGCGCGCGCCGGAAAACGGAGGTCAAACCGCACATCGCGGCGCACCGCGATACCGAATTGTTATCGTTATTTAAAAAAAAATCTTGCGGTTGGAATTTCCCACTGGTATCCGCTAGTATCGCACCGCCCGGAAACGAGTATCTTCCTCCTGCGGGATTGTCATACACCGGGTGTCGTGTGTGCGAGCAGTGGAAAATACTTAGAATTTTAAAAGTCATTGTGTAACTTCTGCTCCGATTTGTCACAATGGATTTTTCTGTTTTTTTTTTGTGGCCGAGAACATATTGAAATCATATATTTTTACACTTGGGACACTTTCCATTGGATGATTTTTAGTTGACGACTTACAATTAACACAAGCAGAGCTCCAAAATTCTATTTTTACACCCACATCCTCTTGAATATTTCAACTTTTCGATTAAAGCGCATTCTCATCTTGCATCCAACGTAGGTTCATCATTAAACTTAATCTCTTCACCTTATCATAAATCATAGTTTCATATTCATATCTCTTTATCCTACTTTTCTCTCAATTTTAAATGAAAGATGCGCATAATTTAGCACACACATTTATCGCATAGCGCAATTCTGAATTTTTCATATAAAATCTCACGTACAGTATATTTTTATATTCAGATCTTCTCTTTTTCTATTTGAAATTAAATATAATTATTTAAAAGAATGCAACTATATAAATGTGTGCTTTCTGCACAAAATTCGCGGGAGAATCCGCTGCGCAGATTTACGTTTATGCGAATACATCATATTTCTCATAAAAAGATTCGGGCCGAAAGAATCGCGCGCATGATCGCCCCGCGTGAATGAATTAAATCGAGGGAGCGCATTTTATCGTACAGCGGTTGCGTAAACGAGCATTAAAAAACCTGACCTCAAGCCGCAGCGTATTATCGGGATTCGCGTTTATTCGGCTGCGAGAAAAATAAACTAAAACGCGAGCACTGTGATGAGTCATCCTAACAATGCGCTTCGAGCGGAGACTCGCCTCTCTCCTCTTACTCTTTCTCTCTCTCTCTTTCTCCCTTTTTGCTCCGAACGTCTGACCCCTATCACGCTAATCAGAAATTATAATGGTAAATTCGAGTCCACAAAGAGGCCTTCGGCCTATACGCAGCGTTCCAGAAACGTGAGCTTAATTTTACTCAAGGCAAATCAATTTTAAATTCTTTGTTGTAAAACTGAAATCAAAATGTGAGAATTAAAGACAGAATAAGCAAAATGAATAATTAATAAAGATATTAATTGTCCAAAAAATTTTTTTTCAAGTTTAATATATATATATAGGAATAAAGAAGACAAGCGATTGCCACATACTGACTCAACCAACTCGATTTGTAGAATAAAACTTGTAAATTCCTTGTGAAACTTGTAAAGATGACTCCGATGACCCGAAATGCTAATGGCTCCGAATTTCATAAATAATCATGGTCCATATATTATTCTTTCATTCAACTAAATCGACAATGGCTGGATATCGAAAGTATCTATTCTTTTTTTCGGGTGAATCATCGACTGCTGACTCTGTGCAACACAATACGTAATAAAACTAACACAATACATAACATAGACTAACATATTTAATCATATCGTTAAACAAATATTTACGAAACAAATTTTATTGCTAAATTTAACTCCTTAATACGCATCATTAAATATTGTTGTACGTACGAATATTAAATCAAATGTTCGGAGATAAAATCTAACTTACTTCGCGCGTCTTCGAACTGATTTTATTTAATTAAAATTGAGAAATTAAATTTTACGTTACCTTCACTTCGGAATATAAAATAAATTATTCTTGCGAGTGTGAATATGATTTATTTCACAAATTCTATTTTTCTTTCTATTTTTGTAGCGTGAAACAACTGATGTAACAAGCAACCGTGTGCGATAAGAATTTCCATCTATCAGCAAACTTAGGAAGAGGTCGGGAGGAGCGGTTTATCGCTATCCTTGCGTTTCTTGCGTTGCGAAATCGCAGAAATTCTGTCAGGAATATAAAATCCACGAAACAATATAGTCCAAGTACTCAAGCTATCTGAAAATTTCAATAATTTATTTTGTTATATTGTATTCAATATAAAACATGTAAAATATTTCCATAAAAGAAAAATAAAAATGATCAATTAAGTAATAATGCTTAATTTATAAAGAAACGTCGCACTTTTGATAATAGTTACATTTATCTCTATTATTTTTAATCGAAAATAAATAATACAGCGGGGATTTAATTGCGCGAGGGAACACTTTTGCAAATTTAATGAATTAACGTGAATAAATAATTATTAACTAATGCGTAACGATAAGTAATTTTATTTTCAAGCACTACGATGAGAGCGCCTTGCCAATGTGAAACACACGCGGGACAGATGTGTGCGATGTACAAATGTCTCGCTATATTCCCTGGGGAGAACTCCGGTTGGTTCAATAGGGATCGACGGTTGAAAAGGGCAGTCCGAAAAAAACATTATCAAAGAATGGCTAACGAACCGAACAAATTTCTTGTAACCGTTTAACTAACGTTGAAAAATGATCGGCGAGAAAGTTGGGGTCCTCCAAAGTTAATAAAAAATTATTTAATTATAAATTAAAATAAATAATTATTTTTCAACATTTAATGAACGGTCCGTGCGTACTGAATATACTTGACAAGTTTTTAAACTATAATTCTTCTTATAAATTTCTTCAAAAGCAGAACAAAATTATGTCAGTTTAAGTATTCACGAAAATCTGCATTCTTTTATGGCCGTGAATATTCATTAAACTATTTTTCTTTATCGCTATTGTATTTAGAAAAATATATTAATATAATATTGTTAAATTGATATCAGAGTGTTAAATAATGACTAAATAAATCAGAATTATGAAATGTGAAAGTTTACGTGACGTGAGTCTGTTTACGTGAAAATTGTGACTGTTGAAGTACTTTTTTTCATCGCTATTAAAATGTTTAAGGAAACTTTCTTATTATCGGCGTCAGAGTTATTTTAAAAGATATACGCATTAATTATTCATTGTTATAAATAGTAAAGAAAAAAATACAATCACTTTTCAGGATAAACTCACGAAGGTGATATCTCGGTCTATCCGCCCCTTCCTGTTTCCTTTTCATGAGTTTGCTGGCTAATCTCTAGGCCGCAACATCCTGTGGGTGGAATGGTACTTGTTGTTATAAAGTTCGTCGCATGAACGTGGAAATTATCAGTCTAGAAACGTGCCTGCTGCCGTTCGTATCGTCCCTCCGTGAATCTCTTCGTGAAGTCTTGAGTAATATTAATTGGAGCGCGCAAAGCGGCAGTGAAGAGCATAAAGCTCTGCCTAAAGTGTCGAGTAATCATGATAAAAAGTAGACAGACGCTAGAACGTAATTTTTAAGTCATTAATCAATTATTCTGTGTGATAATCTTAAAAATATCTGTGATCGCTAAAATGTACAATTATTTTTAAAAATATGGGATGGAAAATGCGAAGTCAACTATTTTGTTGCTTGAAAAAAAATGTTATATTGTACGAGCGTTTGTTGTTTGTAAGAATTTGCAGTAATTTATAAGAGTAAGTTTTAGATCTTTTTACAAGCAGTTTTAATCAATATTTTTATAACACAAATATTCGTAATTATGTATAGTGAATCTTTATAATATACAGTCTTGCAGTGAAGATATTATCGAACGATTACGCTGCGGCTCGTCAAAGGGCACTTTGCTAATTTAAATGCGAGCTGCCTTTTGAAGGGCAACACTGTGATTGATCGAATTCATCGATGGAACCACGTAGAATGCGGTCTAATAAATCTGAATTATTCGCAGAACATTTTTAAACTTTAATACTTCAAAGTATCAACAGATTCGATAATTGTTTCGCCTGCTCCACTTTCTATTTGCAAAGCATGGCACATCTTATTTTTTCGTTGAACGAATAAAATCAAAATTTGTAATATATTTGATTTCAGATTAAATGAATAAAATACTCTCATTAAATAAATTTCAAGTAACCTTTCGACACTTTTGTATCCTGTCTTTGAAATACGATCCAGAGTTGATACTCTACCTTCAAATAAATAAGATTTCCATCGTAAGTTTCATAAAATATTCGCTGTAAAGAATCCTCTTCCCAGCGGACAGTATTTTTTTATTCAATCTTTTGGTACACATCCATTGACGACATCACAATGCACATAGTGAAGTGTTAATTGCTGTTTCCTTGTTAAAATTTATTCCAATCCTCGTTAAATGTTTCTTTTTTCTTCTATGCACAAATTTATAAATTGCGGTAATGTACGTGTTGTCCCAATTCTGCAACGAATGTCGTTCATCGTGTGTCATCATTTGCACATTATTTACGTTACAAATTTTGTAGTCGATTCTCTGCAAATCAAGCACGTTTCGCTACTTCGATATTTAAACGTTAATGCATAACGTTCTCGTCAATGATTACATAAATAAATTTCGGCAATTTGCACATACACATACTTCTCCTGCAGAATGATAGTTATATTAATGCGATAAATAAATTATGTTACTTGGCCTGCAGATCGATTTGTCTAGTTATACACTGCTTAACTGTAATGACGATGATGATAGTAGTGTAATAATAATAGTAATATAATAATTATTGCAATAATAGTAATTACATTCAGGTAACTTTTAGAATGTTACTAAATAATATCTAACATAGAAGCAACAGATTCTGTTTTTTTTTTTTTATAAATAAATAGATGTCAAGTTAAGATTTTGCAAAATGTGACGTTAATGTTTTATCAGTAGAGCGACTGGTTCTACTTGTATCTTTCTTGAAAATTGCTTTAATCGTTGCACTTAGGTATAATGTAAAATACGACGTTTTCCTTTCCCTTTGTCTTTCTAAAATGTGATTGATCACCGACCTCTCGTTTATTCTCCTTTGTACAAATCACAGATTTTCATAGACAGTTTGCGCTGTCAGCTCGCAAGTACAGCTCGAGTTATTGTTTCCTTTTTAGCTAAATATACGTCACGCGCGGCTCCAACGTACTCGCTTAAAATTTGTCCCCTATAAAAAGTCAGTCTCATCTCGTCTATAAGGTGTCGTGACGGTGTCGAGTCTCCCTACACGTCTATGTACACCACTGGCGGCGAGGGATAACGATGGTTGTTTAATAATCATAAGAAATCGAACGCTCTCACGAGATTCACCGGTGCTAATTTTCTAACACTAATCGCGACAGACCTTAAGTACACGTGACACATACCAGAATTTTGATAACAGGCCAAAAGAGAAATGTATACCTCACACTTAATAATATATAAATACTATTCTTAATAAAAACTGATGCACACTAAACGATCAATTAACGAAAGATAAATACAGTTGCTAATGATATTTATTCGGAATTGTTTGACCATTGTTTGACAATTGTTTGATCATTGTTTGACGACTTTACATAAATATTTTAAAATATTTTTTTTCTCACTCTCTTGCTTTTTAAAAATGCCACTAATATATTGAATAAAATTAAATACATTTAAATAACGTTTGTTAGCCACAGCTAGAAAAAGGATTTACTAGAAGGATTTACTAGAAGGATTTGCCAAAGATCGCGATCTCTAATACTGCTCTCAAATATTAAAATAAATTACATTCATTCCCTGTTCTCTCTCTAAGCGAGCTTACACACGTGCTTACACACACAACTCGCGTAAATCTAAATTAACAACATACGCGAATTGCGTAATCTCGGGCTCCCGTCGGACTGAAGCGATTTCGAATTCGATCGTAGATCGTCATGCCCATTGAGAAGATCCAATACCTAAATGTTATGTACGTGAGCGAGACGAATGTGAGAATCTAAAAGAAATTTTAGTAACTAGTAATTTAGTAAAATTTAGTAAAATAAAAGAATTACGATTTAAAAAATCGTTAACTACATAAATTTCTGACACTTTTAAAATAAATGTGATGTGGGCGAATGGAAGTATATTTCACTTAATAAAATTCTACTTTTACCGATTCTATGTTAAATAAATAATGCTTAATTATATTGTATTCAATATTATTATAAATATTACTTAAGATAGCGTGTATCTTGAAATTTTTTTACGCTTAAACGTTCAATCTTATGACAAGCCTTCGTAGATATTTAACTAAAAATATTATTAATTCATTTGCTGCAGGTATTGGATTTTCCTGAAAGAACTTCCTTCTCGCCACGAAATAGGCGAGGTCCTAGTTGTTAAACAGAAAAAAAGAACATATTTCACAAATGTACAAATTTTTGTTCGCCACAGAATTGCCACCGATATCCAGCGCCGCGTCGAACGGGAAACGTCATAGTATCTCCCCGTCCCAAGACTTCCCGAGTTGCGATAAAACTGTCTTATGATTAAACGTCTCGTAAAGTTTCAAGTTAGAACCATTTAAAAAAATGAAATCTACAACAACACGTAGAACTTTTAGCTCTCTTATACAACGCAGTCGCCCCGGAATTGTCTCATCCCCCTCAGAACCGTCGAAACACGAGGGATGAGCTCGTCGGGAACACCGTTATTTGACGCTTATCTTATTGCATAATAATATAAGCCGCACATTGACGAATTGGAACGACCTAGTCCATGAACGTTCGAGCGATCGAGCGATCGTAAAGCTAGAGCGATGTCCGGCTCATTATAGTGATACAATATAAATTATAGTGATACAATATAAATTTCCCTTAGAATGTCAAATTGCCCTTATAATGCCAAATTTCCCTTCTATATGTCAAAATTATAACAATATTTGATATATTAAATTTCAATCATTAACAATATTTCGATACTGTCAAACAAAATAAAAGTAATATCACAATAATTGAAAGTTCTGACAAATAATTTTACATAAACAGTTTTAGATACATAATCGTAAAAAGCAACAACGTGCAGATTTTTACTTCCTGTTGAGCTTCACGATCGCACGAGGTAGAAGAAGAGAAGTAAAAATCGGGTAGACAGTTGAAATCGCATATCTGCTTATCTTCACATACGACGCGTGCATACGTATGCGCGATGCGAGAAAATTTTATACCAAAAATTAAGGCAGCAGTAGCTGCGAACCATCATTGTAAGTTTAAATAAATCATAAGTTACTACGGCCATCATTAAAAATTTTTATAATAGTATACTAAAAGTGAATAAATTAAGAGCGTACAGTATTGCAGTTTAAAATCAAAGACAGAACTATACAACAATTTTCCCCCGTCGATCTCGAAAATACAAAAATAATTCGTGAAAAAAATAATCAATCGATCTTAATGTCAACACTAACACTAATAAAATGCACATTCTTTTACTAATCTTTAAAACAACGACAACATGCGTCGTTGAATAACAGAACTTGTCAAATATTCTATTCCTTCACAATTGAGAAAATTCTTATTGGCGCCCACCGACCGAGCTAAATACTTTTTCACGCACTCTGCAGGTATCCGATTCCACTGTCTTCACCCGACCTATTCTCAGCCCTCGACACGCTCCAAATGACAATCTGAACAGTCCCGAACGGAACGAGAAGAGAAAAGGGCCTCAGCCAGCGACCGACGTAATGACAGTGCTCGTAACCGAACCATTGTCGCCGTCGTCGTTGCCGCTGTGGCGCCATCGCGACGGTCACCAGAAGTGCGACTGCACGTAGCTGCCGCCTCCGCCGCCGCCCATGCCGATCGGATTGAATCGGTGCGGGATGTATCTTCTCCATCCGCATGGCCCCCCGGTCCGCCGCCGCCGCCGCCGCCTCCGCCCAGGAAGCCGCCGCTGCTGCCGCCGCCATGGGGCCCGCCACCGCGTGGCCCGAATCCGCCCGCTCGGCCCAGCATACCCGGACCGCTGCCGCCGCCACCGCCGCCGCCGCCTCCGCCGCCGCCACCAATGCCCATGCCCATCCCCGGGCCCCCGCCGATGCCCCGAGCCCGTCCCCCGCCGACTCCACCGAGTCCGCTCGATCCTGGAAAATTCGGTTTTGCCTGAGATTGAAAGTCGGCAGTGACACGCAGAGGACATTGATCCGGCGTCACGCTGCTCCTTCGCTTTCTTTGCCTAACGCGATGTAGTCCTTTGAAATATTCTATTTCGTGCTGAGACTTTATAGATCATCAATACATAAATTTGAGTCTCGCATCGGCTAAGAAATTTAAATTTATTTTCAACTGCAATTTTATACTTGGACAAATTTATTATTAGATTTATATCTACTAAATCTTTAGACTTTGAAATACATAAAATTGAAAATTTGTTCTACGGTGAATTCGTGAGCAAAATTGGAGCCAATCATTACTACATTTGCTTGTACTTATCTTGTAAATAAATAGATATTATTTAAGGAAGCAGCGTTATTGTAAAATATGCATTCTTGCCATACTTTTTCGGAGGTGTTAGAAAAGCGAAGAAGGGGCGTATTTTAGTGAAAGAGGGTCGTGTGAATGACTTAGGCTCGGTATGTCGGTTTCTAGTGTTTTAATCAAATTTAACGAGCGACCGCAGCGAGGAAACTCGCGGCTGCGGCAACGAGAATAGGAAAGATGTAAGATGCTGATTAGAAGATCTCCGGAGGATCATTAACGACGCGTTTTCTCCTTTCTCTCTCTCTCTTTCTCTCTCACAAACGTCGATCCTCCGAAGTATACTTTTTGTCCTGATGACTTTCTTTCGCGGAAGGAAGTTTTATCACACCTCAGCTT